AGGGGGCAAGGGGGGAGGGGGAACACCCCTCAAAGAAGGGTGTGCGAGGAGTGCCACGAGGAGCACCTACAGCGACTACGCTAGTCTCAGCTGCAAGGAGGTGCGTCTTGATTAGGTCGACAGTGAGGTATGTGGGGTCAAGTGCGAGAAAGTGGTCCCTGACTGCGCGAATAGAGTCAGGGAGGCGGGTGACTATGAAGTAGAGGGTGATGTACATTGGGGAGGAGGGGTTCTTGTCTAGGAACTTGGCTAGGAGGGCAGAGCGGTAGCGAGCGTCGCTAGTGCGAAGGTGGGTAACGAGGTCCTCTACAGTGGCAAAGGCGGACAGCTCTGGAAACAGGTAGGGCAGGAGAAGACAGCCTAGAGAAGCAGTGGTAGGGGAGGAGTAATGGGCGACTACAGCGTCGTACAGTGCTTTAGCTGTCTTGTGCTGTCCGAAGTGAGGCGTTCAGCTAACGGCAGGTGGTTGCGAACGGCTAAGCAAGGAGCTGCGTCACGGGTAAGCCACTGTGAGCGAGTCGCACTGTCAGCTGTGGCGGGAGGGGCGAGAGAGGCTCCAGACGTGTGGTCAAACAACGAAACGCTGTCTCTAGAATCGCTCTATAGGAACCGCTGTAAGTCGTCGAGCCATGTATCGAACTGGATCGGACGACCCTCATGATCGAAAGTGAGTACACTGAGAGAAGCCATAGGAGGCAGAGCAGGGTGGCGCGAGACCAGCAGAGCAGTACGCAGGCAGGGCAGCACTTGAGCACTAGGGAAGCGAGCAGTGCGGCGCACAGCAGGACGGGCAGTAGCAAGGCGGCGCGAGCAGCAAGGCGGGCACGCTGGCTGCAAAGGGGCGGCAAGCGGGTTGCCAGAGGGCGGGCGGCAAGCGGGCCGAGAGGGGCGGCGAGCAGGCTGCAAGAGGGCATCTCGCGGGCTGCAAGGGGCGGCGAGCGGGCCGCAGGCGTGCGGCAAGCGGGCTCCAGGGGCGGCGAGCTGGCTGCAAATGGGTGGCAAGCGGGCTGCAGGGGCGGCGAGCGGGCCCCAGGGGCGGCGATCGGGCCGTGAGCAAGCGCCGAGCGGGCGGCAGGGGCGGCGAGCGAGCCGCAGGCAGGCGGCGAGCGGGCTGCAGGGGCGGCGAGCGGGCCGCAGGCAGGCGGCGAGCGTGTTAAAATAGTAGCAACTTAGGCTTAGGAGCCATAGCTAGGTTAGAGTGTCGAGAGAGTTTTGGGTGAGGAAAATCGAGAAGGAGAATGATGTTCACTATGGAAAGTTGGGATACAAATAGCAAACCCTAAATTGGGTTGTACTCATTACAGAGTACCCCACTGCAGGCTAGACAGCAAATACATTCTGACACACCCCCATAGTCAAAGTGGGGTATAATCAGCAGAGCAAGCAGTCATAGAGCAAGTTCACCAGTACAAGCAAATCTAGAGGCATTTACAAAGGGCAAGTGAGGAGGAGGAGGCTAGACTGTGAGAGGAGAGGAGATAGGAGGCGACGGCTGATGTTGCAGACACACAGGCAACAGGAGCGGCGCGCACGGTGGCTACCGGAGCAAGGGCCCCAGACTACAGGAGTAACTCGCTCTGCGGCTAACTCTGAGCGGCAGGAGCAACGGACCCACGGGCGACAGGCGCAGCAGGCTCTTTGAGCTACGAGCAGCAGAGCCCCGGACTACAGGTGCTGCGGACGACAAGACGGCAGCCTCCGCTCAACCTCCCCCAACTGTCCCACCCCCCTTTCACACACCCTTTGCTGCACCCCTAGCTCCACTTCCACGTCACCCCCCTAGCACCACTCCCTCGGCTTCCACACACCCACCTCCCTCAGCGGCAGCTGCAGCAGTGGGAGACGAAGGAGGAGGAGGAGAGGCGGCAGCAGGTCACCCACACCCGCCACCCCCATACCCTCCCCCCCACTGCTGCACCCGCAGCAGGGGGATGGAGGAGAAGGGGGGGGGGGGGGGGGGGGGGGGGGGGGGGGGGCTGGTGCTGCAGATCCCCTCCCTCCACTGCCGCATCTGCAGCAGGGGGAGGGAGGAGAAAGGGGGGGGGGGGGGGGGGGGGGGGCTGGTGCCGCAGATCCCCTCCCCCCCACTGCCGCACCCGCAGCAGTGGGATGGAGGAGAAGGGGAGGCGGAGGGGGCTGGTACTGCAGATCCCCTCCTGCCTCCCCCTGAACTTCCAAGCTCCCCCCCCTCTCCCAACACAAGGTGCGGCAGAGAGAGAGAGAGGAGGAGGCGCGGCGGCAGTTGCTGCTGCTGAGGCACATCCGCCACCCCCTCACACCCTCTCCCCCCCGTCCCCATGGAGGGGGGGGAGGGGGGCGGGGGCGGAGCTGCGCGTGCGACTGCAGGGCACGCGGGCAGGAGGAACCCCCTCTTGCCACTCCCTTACCCTTCATGATGCGACAGCACCGGGGCCGCGGCTAGGGGCGACGGGTCGCGAGGGGCCGAGGCGAGAGGCGACGGGGCCGCGGTTAGGGGCTGCAGGTCGCGAGGGGCCATAGCTAGGGGCGACGAGGCCAGTGGGGCCGAGGGGCGCGGCTAGGTACGGGGCCGGGCGCTGGGCTAGGGACGGGGCCGGGAGTTGGGCAGGTACGGGGCCGGGCGTTGGGCGCGGAACGGGGCCGGGCGCGAGACTAGGTATGGGGCCGGGCGCGGGCTAGGTACTGGGCCGGGCGTGGGCTAGGTACGGGGCCGGGCACTGGGCTAGGGACGAGGCCGGGCGCTGGGCAGGTACGGGGCCGGGCGATGGGTACGGAACGGGGCTGGGCGCGAGGCTAGGTACTGGAGTGGGCGTGGGCTAGGTACGTGGCTGGGCGCGGGCGCGGAACGGGGCCGGGCGCGAGGCTAGGTACTGGGCCGGGCGTGGGCTAGGTACGGGGCCAGGCGCGGGCGTGATACGGGCCGGGCGCGGGCTAGGTACGGGGCCAAGCGCGGGCGAGAGACGGGGCCGGGCGCGGGCTAGGTACGGGCCGGTCGCGGGCTAGGTACGGGCCGGTCGCGGGGTAGGTACGGGCCGGGCGCGGGGCGACGGGGTCGACGGGGCCAACGGGGCCGAGGGGCGCGGCTAGGGGCGACGGGGCCAACGGGGCCGAGGGGCGCGGCTAGGGGCGACGGGGCCAACGGGGCCGAGTGGCACAGCTAGGGGCGACGGGGCCAAGGGGCCGAGCCTAGAGGCTAGGGGCGACGCCAAGGGGCGACGGGCCGGGGCCTAGGCTAGCAGGGCATTAGGTGGTGGGCCCATTAATGTGAGGTCCTAGGAACGACCTACTCTGATAGCATGTTAAAATGGTAGCAACTTAGGCTTAGGAGCCATAGCTAGGTTAGAGTGTCGAGAGAGTTTTGGGTGAGGAAAATCGAGAAGGAGAATGATGTTCACTATGGAAAGTTGGGATACAAATAGCAAACCCTAAATTGGGTTGTACTCACTACAGAGTACCCCACTGCAGGCTAGACAGCAAATACATTCTGACAGAGCGGGCTGCAGGGGCGGCGAGCGGGCCGCGAGCAAGCGGCGAGCGGGCGGCAGGGGCGGCGAGCGGGCGGCAGGGGCGGCGAGCGGGCCGTAGGGGCAGCGAGCGGGCCGCAGGCAGGCGGCGAGCGGGCGGCAGGGGCGGCGAGCAAGCCGCAAGCGGGCGGCGAGCTGGCCGTAGGGGCAGCGATCGGGCCGCAAGGGCGGCGAGCGGGCCTAGGGGCGGCGGGCGAGCCGCAAGCGGGCAGCGAGCGGGCTGCAGAGGCGGCGCGCGGGCCGCAAGTAGGTGGCGAGCGGGCTGCATGGGGCAGCGCGCTGGCTGCAGGGGCGGCTCGTGGGCTGCTAAGGGCGGCGCGATGAGCTGCTAGGGGCGGTGCAGCGGCCAGCAGGGCGGCGCGTCAGTAGGGTAGGGTGGCAGGGCAGCTAGTGGGGCAGCTCTGTGGTGGGCCCTAAAAAAAGTTCGGTCCTAGGGAAGGACCTGCTCTGAAACTATGTCAAAATAACGAACGAGAATGAATGAACTATGAAAGAGTTGGGTACAAGTACTAACCCTAATTGGGTTGTACCCCTTATGGGCTACCCCACTATAGCCAGCACGAAGTAAGCTACAGCTGTCCGTTGCCCGGGGGAGGGAAGCCACGGTCGATCGCGACCGTTCGAGGCAAGGATCTGGCGGTGCCAAAGGAGTGCCCATAAAATTATGGCCGAGAGGAGCAACTAGCTCGTTCTCCTGGCCGGCCTATGCAACTCCTGGACCCCAAGACATCCTTCCTCGTCCCCCCCCCCCCCCCCCCCTCGAGGGGTATTACACTCTAAAAAGCGGGGTAGGCTAGGAAAGTAGCTCTGATACCAGGTGTTATGGATGAACTTGCAGAGTGCGCAGAATAACGAGGATGGTTGAATATTGCATGCTCATACAATGAAAGTGACGAGACATAAATAGGGGAAAATCTAGCTAGGCGGAGAGGTCGGGAATGGATGGCTTGGTGATGTTGCGATTGGGGCGGAGGCCGACTCGGAGGTGGTTCGGTGCGACGAAATAGGCCGAACAGGTTCGTCGCGTGACCCTCGAGATGTCCTCGCTAACGAGTGCCTCAATAAGGATTTGTAAATCCTTACAAAATGCTTGTTCTTCATTCAACAAGTAGGGTTTAGTGTGGTTGTAGCCTTTTGTGAAGTTCATCGAAGGAATCGTATGAAAAGTAAACAAATCTTAAGCTAAAATTACCTTTGCATTACAATTGCAAAATTGTACACCAAACTGATGTAAACATAACAAATAACTGACTTAAATGTCCATTACAGGTCCTCCAGACTGATCATATAATTTAGCTCGCGGCGCACAAGGCTCTGCATGCAGTAATCATTGCTTGCCGATGGTAACTCGGAAGGACTTCACAATCTGCAGTTATTGGGCACAGCGAGGCATTAAGCCAGATAACAGGCAGCAGGAAATACAGTGACACCCTGATGCCCATAGACAGACAGATACGGTACAATGTCCTTCTTGAGAGCAGAAAGCGTAAGGCTTACCTTGTCCACTGTTGGCTTGAATGTAGCAGCCTCGTCCTCAGGATACTGTACGCACAAAATAAACGAAGAAGAAATGATGATGACATCTCCAACATCAAAGATTTCAACAACTTCCAAATCAACTCGAAAGGTGAAGATGCTGTGGTGCTACAAGTCCTGCCCCTGGGAGGCCAAGGTCAGGTCTCCAGCTGTTCATGTTCTGGGAATTTGCAGAACAGGCAGGCATAGAGTGAAAGTCCTAACCTGTCCTGTAAAGGTGAAGAGATGTAGCACACGTTCTAGCCCGGAATACAACAGGCAGGCATAGCGAGAAGGAACTCACCTGTCCGGTGAAGGTGAAGAGGTTGTTGTACCACACATTCTGCCCCGTGGCCACAGCGGAGTAGAGGTGAATGCAGGGCTCGCTGGGCTTCTGCAGCGTGTACTCCACCAGGTACGTGTCTAAAGAGAGGGGGAAGACAAGGGGGTGGGGGCAGCACAATAGATTTCAGAGACCTTCTGAGGCGCCACAACAGGCTTCTGCAGCGTGTACTCCACCAGGTATGCGTCTGAAGGGAGGGGGAAGAGAGGGCATGGAGGCAGCACAGTAGGAGATGGAGGCGCCTCAAAAGGCTTCTGGAGCGTGTACTCCACCAGGAAAGTGTATAAGGGAAGCGGGAAGGCGAGCGGATGGATTCAGAACAGAGGCATTCTGAAGCGCCTCAGAAGGATTCTGCCTTGTGTATTCCACCAGGTATGTGTGTGTGGGGAGGGGTAAGGAGAGGGCATGGAGGCAGCAGAATGGGCTGTAGATATGGCAAGATCTTCCCGGTTCTGCCACACTCAGCAAGCAGGGCGGGAAAGCAGGAAGATCTTACTTCTTTAAGACTCAGAAGTGGGATTGTTTGGACTAAAACTACGGAGAGAACAAGAATCCCAAAACGTTGAAAGAGATAAATCACCGGGTGCGGCCTCCGTGTGGGTGGCACTCACCATTGTCGGACTTGGCCCCCAACAGCACTGCCTTTTGCCCGGGACTGGGCTGCCAGCTGCGGTCCAGGCCGTTCACCTGCATGTACCAGCACCAGCAGCAAGACGCATGGGGATGAGAGCTAACTGAGCTTATGCGTGGTGATTTTTTAGACGTCTCAAAACTGCCTTTTGCCCGAAACCGGGCTGCCAGCTGCGGTCCAGGCCGTTCACCTGCATGTACCAGCACCAGCAGCAAGACGCATGGGGATGAGAGCTAACTGAGCTTATGCGTGGTGATTTTTGAGACGTCTCAAAACTGCCTTTTGCCCGGGACTGGGCTGCCAGCTGCGGTCCAGGCCGTTCACGTGCATGTACCAGCACCAGCAGCAAGACGCATGGGGATGAGAGCTGACTGAGCTTATGCGTGGTGATCTTTGAGACGTCTCAAAACTGCCTTTTGCCCGGGACTGGGCTGCCAGCTGCGGTCCAGGCCGTTCACCTGCATGTACCAGCACCAGCAGCAAGACACATGCAGGCGAAAGGTAACTGAGCTGATGCATGCTAATGTGTGGTGATGCGTGGTGACGCGTGGTGATGCGTGGTGATGTGTTGTGTGGTGTACCAGCACCAGTAGCAAGAGGCATGGGGGCGAGAGGTAACTGAGGTGATGCATACTGATGCGTGGTGATGTGTGGAAATGTGTGGTGATGTGTGGTGAGGCGTGGTGATGTGTGGAAATGTGTGGTGATGTGTGGTGAGGCGTGGTGATATGTTGTGTGGTGGCACGTAGTGATGCATGGTGACGCATGCTGAGGCGTGGTGATGCATGCTGAGGCGTGGTGATACATGCTGATGCGTGGTGATGCACGACGATGTATGCAGATGCACGATGGCTGCACTTTACTAACTCATTGAAAAGAAGCAAGCAGTCCAATCCCACGACCAGCATGAAGCAGAGGCACCAAGGACGTCACATACCAAGCATTTCCCCTTCCAGTCTGCAGCAGGTCACACAATAATCCCCATTCGTCCAACACTTCAGCTCAATCTCCCCGACAATGACCCCCACAGACTGTCAGAGCTACCAGATGACTCCATAAAACCAGCGAGGGTGGCTTGCCAGCACAGCAGAGCAGCAGTGCAGCAACACACACTCGCATTGAAGCACTACACAAGGCAGAGACCCACCAGCGTCTCTGCAAAGGCGTCCACGGTGCCAAACGACCCCAGCGACGTGAAATCGGCTGCCAGAGGCGTGATGAGGATGGTCACTGCGCGATGCATGGGACGTGTAGGAAGGCGGGGGGTATGGAGGAAAGCGGGGGACGCGCAGGTAAGCAGGGTACATGCAGGAACGCAGGGGACATGGAAAAAGGCAGAGGACGTGGAGGAGGGCAGGGGACATGGAGGAGGGCAGGGGGCATGCAGGAGGGCAGGGGTGAAGGCTAGGATTGAAGGAGGTGCCAGATGTGAAGCCATAATGCTTGATGTGCTGGATTGGATGTACCAATGAGTTGGTGAAGTCAGTACAATCAGTAAAATATCAACACATGCGCCATCAGCCCTTTACAGAAATTTTATCATGCAAACAGGATCCAGTGCATTGCTTTTGCTCTCCCCTTTTAAACGAGGCAGGAAACGCCCACGAGCATGGGGCTACAGAAGGCTGTCTTGGACAGCCTCCCTTCCCTCCCACTCTCCTTCCCTCCCTTCCCAGTGAGCCCTCCCTTCCCCGTGAGCCCTCCCGTCCAAGTGAACCCACCGTTAGCATCCGTGCGGTCCGGCGAGTGAAACGCGATCACCTTGCGCACTCCTGCCGTGCCCTCGCTGCGCACCCATCCTTGGCTTTTGACACGCCTCAAAAGTGATCCCTCCCTTCCCAGTGAACCCTCCATTCCCCACCGACCCACCCTCCATTCCCCACTAACCCACCCTCCATTCCCCACTAACCCACCCTCCATTCCCCACCGACCCACCCTCCATTCTCCACTAACCCACCATTGGCATCCGTGCGGTCCGGCGGGTGGAAGGCGATCACCTTGCGCACTCCCGCCGTGCCCTCGCTGCGCACCCATTCTTGGCGCACGGCCACGGCCACCACAGGTTACACGGGGAGAGAACGGGAAACAAAGTGAGAGTGAGTGTGTGTGTGTGTGTGTGGGAGAGAGAGAGGGAGAGAGGGGGAGAGAGAGAGAGAGAGAGAGAGAGAGAGAGAGAGAGAGAGAGAGAGAGAGAGAGAGAGAGAGGGGGGGGGAGAAAGGGGGCAGACCATAAGTTATAATGCATTTTTTCAAGTAGTGAGAAGGAAATGGGCTCATTTAATACTGCTAAACTGCGGCCTTACCTGCAGGGACCTGGAAGGTGTATTTCTCCTTGGGATTGTCGAACGTCACGAAGTCTGAAGCCTCTGCAATGGGAGCACGGATAAGACGAGGAAGGAGGAACCCAAACGAAGGGTTGCAGCAGATGAGAGCGAGCCGGTTAGGACACTGACGCTGCCAGAGGGAGTCTTTTCCTCTCGGAGCCATCTTCAGCAGGTAAACAGATAGATGAATTCCACAATTTCTGGTATCATCCAATGTGAGCACATAACCAACGGCTGATTCCTTTCGAGGATGTGGTTTTTTAACTGACCTTGCTCCGCGCTAGCTGATCCCGCGAGAGTCAACGCCAGCGGAGCAGCCAGCGATCCGGCCAACAAATCCCTTCGGTTAACGACGCATGGTCTGTGGGTGAGAATGGTTCAGGCAAGCCAGGAAAGAGATACAATGCGAGGTTTAATCGCTATGGATCTGGCACGGTGCTGGAAGCATACGTCCCAATTCCTAAAATAAAAAGTTTTTCTTGTTTGTACCGTGCATCAGGATTCGGCGACTCCGACTCGGCTCTAAGACGCACTGGTCCGACGCAACGAACTGATGGCGACACCGGCTTGGCTAATCTGGGGGCGACGCTAGCATGGAGAGCGGAGAGTGCGGACGACGAGGCGAGCTGAGACAGCGAGGAGGCCATGGTTCGCCGTTTAATGTTCAAGCTAGATTATTAGCAGCTGGATGAACAATACGACTGTTTTGATCAGCGAGGCTGCTCTATGAGTGTGAAAAGATCAGTTTGCCTGCGACTGTCAGACGTGAAGCTGAATAAAATTCAGTGATCAGGAACGAATAACCTCGGCAGTTCTGAAAGTTGTGAATGCAATTTCAGTGCGGTGGAGGCTCGGTTTTGCATGATCAATCGTGGCATGCGATTGGAGGTGACGCGTCCTCACTAAAAGCTGGCTACGCGATCAGTCTGATGGGCTGAATGTTCCCAGCATACCCGATTGTGGTGCATGCACCACTTTAGGTTCCTGCATCAGTCTGCAATAGTTGGATCAGTGTGGGTTTATTGACTAGAGTACTAGTGTATTAAGTAATGTGAGAAATTTGACGATGAATTCTGTAACGAGCGAGCTCTATATGGAGCATTCAAGCCAGAGGTGTGATTCATATAACGTTCACTCCGATTGGTTGTGGCAGTTGTGTACAGAGAATATCACTCATTCGCAAGTGTGTCCCGTCCCGTTGTTTCTTCTACAGCTGAAGCGGAAACTGCCCGCCAAGCACAACAACGTTATGGTGAAGGAAAATCAAGCCAGCCTCTGGAAACTGCTTTGAAAATGAGTGGAAATGACTCGTGACAGTAAGGGATGTCCATTTAGTGAGAAGTCTACTTGGCCGTGTTCTGCAGGCGCATCAGCCTGATGCGCCAGAGGCTCGGCCTGATGCGGACATTGGGACATTGAATGACATTGAGGTTCGGAATTTCAACATTCAATTTCCTGACATTCAAAATCGACAGCCATAATGTTACGGGTTTCTAGGAAGTTGTGAAGCGCAATTTTCTTAGGGTGTCAACCAATGAGAGTTTAGGAAAAAATAGATTGACCAATGAGGATGCCCCGATCCAGCTTATGCGCGCATCATGCGACCTCGAGAGGTTGCATGATGGCGCATCAGTGAAGCGCCAGATTGCTATGAAAAGAAACTTCGTGGAACGCAATCACATTTCAAAATTCGAGGGCCAAAAAGGCTGTTCTGCAGGCATTCGGGTTTCTTTTGCTTCGGCAGCCATGCGCTTATCGCGAGCCTCAATAACCTGTCACAGGTTATCGAGGAAAAATCCAGGAGCCCTGTTTTACTGCAGCCATCCGGGCTGATGCGCCTGCAGAACGCACCCCTCGCATGGAATGCTCAGAGGGGACGGGGTTGTCGGGGTCGGCTCCGAAACTGCTAGCTGTCTGCCAGAACATAGGCAAGGGGCGCTAGCCAACCGTATTCGTCCAGGTGTGGCAGGTAAGGGGTGAAATGGCGGAGCGCGGAGAGACGCGCAACATCCATCTCCGCCGAGCCCGACAACCTGCGCCTTTAGGACAGGCAGATGGTGGTCTCCGTTGCGCTTGCGCCCCACATTCAGCACCTGCGCGAGCGCACATAAAATATCAGCGAAACTCCCGAGGCGGGCAGATTCACAGGTTCGGTTCGGTTGGGTGATTGACGCGATTTGGAGTACACTTATGATGTCTGTTGGAGCGCACGTGAAGCATGACAACCGCACCATTTCCAACCCGCTGTGCACTCCCTGGAATTTCTGCTCTGAAAGTTGAACGTCATGGGCAGGAAAGAGCTGGGGCAGACTTTTCGTTTCTAGGGCGCCAAGGCGAAACGAAAGGGCCGAATTGGCACGGCGCACCGACCGTCTAACACTCAGAAGGAGCAGAAACGGCCCAAGAAGACCTGATGCACATCCCACTCAAGTGTACCATCATTCACACGAGTCTGCCCGCGATGGGTTCAACGAATCAAACGCCTTGGCTCCTGCTTTGGCGTTGACCGCGCGAAACCGACGCTTGTGGTGCTGGGTCCTTCCTACTGCTGCCCAGGCCTCACTCATGCTCCAGCCAGAGTCCAGAGGAAAACACTGTGCGCCTCGCATCGCGTCGCATGGAAAATGGTGAAAGGTGTCGCGTGCACGGGCTGAAAGAACCAACAAAGGAATTTGCGATTGAACGAACAATTACGGGTGTACACCCGTGCCTCGCGCACCCATGTGCTTTCTGTTGCTCCCTCCCTTCTCCCCTTACCCATAATACTTCCCAGTTCCTCACATTCCATCACCCATCTGACTGGATTCCAGCTCGTCGTCACAACAAGCTCCTCAACTCGCCTGTGTTGCATACACAGCTTCCAAGAAGGCTGAAATACCTTCCAACGAAAGGCACGAACGATACCCCGTGACTGTCCGACCTTCTTGAGAAGCCCGCATGCACGCAGCAAAACCAGAACCTAACACCTTTTGTCACTAACGTTTTCGCACGGCGAGTCTATAAGACCTTCTCTCCTCTCGGATTTAGACTGCTCAGAACATGGATCACCAAGGGACCGTAGCAGCCATGGCGACTTCCCCAGCAAGCAGGCCGCAAAGCGTTCCCCTCAAGAGAAACGCCACCCACTCAAACGCCCAAGCGAGACCACAGACCCTCAAAAAGATCAAACGAGCACGGAGAGACGACCGCCGAAGCACAGCTGCCTTTGCACCCACCCTCTCCAGTCCTCCTTACCGACAAGCAAACACGACTCTCGCTTTTCCTCCGCACCTCTCGACTCCTCTCCCTCCCTTCCAGCCCTCGCTTCCTCCTCCGCTTTGGACGGCCGCTCAGCCGCCTGGGTATTCGTGGGCGGCGATGTCTCCCGTTCACCATAATCACATGCTCTACAATCACTATCTCCAGGGATTCCAACTTCCGGCGTTTCAGAACGGCTCCTGGGCGATTCCGTCGGCGCTTCCTGCGCTGTCGCCAATGCCGCTGCGCCAAGAGGGCGCCGACTCAGCAGCAGCCGACGCGAAGGCGGAAATGGCACGTGTCGATTCGTCGACGCACATTGACAGCCTCGTAGCGCAGTACTCGTTCGCGCAAGCTGGTGCAGCCGCCGCCGCCGCCGCCGCCGCCGCCGCTTGCGCTAGTGGCCCGGTTTCACCCTCCCAGCTCGTCTCGCCGCGTACGAGCTGGCCGCACTTTGCGGCGTGCCCCCCGTTCATGGGGCCCATAGGACACCTAGCATGCGCGCCTGGTTTCGGAACAATTCGATCCCCAAAACCGGCTGAAGGAAGCGCCTCGGCCGGCGGAAGCCCTTCGCTGTCGAGTCACCTGCCGTCGTTGCTCGAGTCGCCTTTGCAGAGCGAGGTTCTGCCGGCTGAATCCGACGGCGAGAGCTGCTGCAAGATTGAGTTGCCGACGGAGCAAATGGACGGAGAGGCAGAGACCGAAGCGGACGAATCGCGAAGGCTTCTTTTCCCCTCAGAGCAAGCAGCAGCGGACGGCGGGGCGGACGAGGCGGAGAAGGCGGAGCAGGATTTGTTCGTGACTAAGGGGACTCGTGCCATGCAGCTGTGGCTGGAGGGCGGGGCAGAGGGGGACGTGCAGGGTATGGGCCCGTTTGATTGGCTGGATGAGCCCTCAGGCGCGGAGGAGGCAACGGGACTTCCGCACTGGGTGCTGGCGGAGCTGGGGGAAGGCGGCGCGGGGAAGAAATTGGGGGAGGCGGTGGAGGAGGAGGTTTACCGTGTGCTGTTCCGTGCTGACTCTATGGAGAGTGCCACAGACGAGCACGTCAACAGCGCCGCAACAACTCTAAAAAGCGAGCAGCATGTTACGACTCCTCTGTATGAGACCCCTTTACAGGCACACGGGCATAAAGAAGAGCAGTATGAGGATGAATCTACCCCCACGGGAACGCCTGATATGCCTGCTGTAACTGATACGCCTGCAGGAGAGGAGCAGGGATCAAATCCTGACTCCAGCGCAGGCAGTACAGATTTCGGGATTACGAGCATTGGAGATTTGGTGTTGGCAGGGCTTGTTGACAAGCCAAGTGCGCAGGTTCTAGAGGACAGCAGCACTGATGATATTTGGCACGATGTGAGCGCGTTGTCTGATTTTTTGGCTGCTCCCAGCAGCCCCATTGTGGATAGCGAACTCTGCCTGGAGCTTCAGGATGTTCCAGACTGGCAGTTTTGAGGAAGTAGGCACTTCCTCGAGGTCGTTTGTTCTATACTTGGCACTCATTAGTGAGAGCTTGCTGTAATGCTTGTTGTGGAGTCATGTGTGCCTATCATAAGAGGTGTATATACTGTTTTGTCTGTGAAGCTTCCTTCTATGGTCTGTCATTAGCCAGAAAAAATCTTGTGCCAAAGCGTGAATTAGAGTAGGATGGACATCTGACAGAAAATGAGGGCTTGGCATGGCACTAGACATACCGTCTTGTTATGCGTGAAGGAAGAAAGAGAGCTGAAGAGAACGTTCGAACACAAAAGTGTCGGTGCTGGGATTCGAGCCCAGGTCTCCACGGCCACAACGTGGGATTCTAACCACTAAACTACACCGACATGCTGAATTAAAATTATACATTTTTAAATATTTTATTTTATGGTGACGCTTGTTGCTTGTTCCCTCCGCCTGATCTGGTCCACCATGTTAGTGCTGGTGTCAACTGATAAACCAAGGTTCTCTTGTATGCTAGTTGCAACTGCGCCATAGTAGTTGCCCTGCTACCAGGTCTTCCTTCGGATGAATAACAGCTATGGGTATCACTGGCCTGCTTCCGTTGCTCAAGTCGGTGACGAGACGCACGCACGTACGAGAATATGCTGGACGCAGGGTAGCCATTGACACGTATTCCTGGCTTCATTGCGCTTCATATTCTTGCAGTCAGGAGCTTTGTCAAGGCACGCCGTGTACGAGGTAGGCAATGCCAGATTGATTCAGTGAAGGTCGCGATTTTCAGACAGTTATTCTCGTACAGGTCCGCAGCGCATTAAGGTTGAATTTCTCGTAAACCTGTTCTAGCCTGATCCTAGATGTTAAGAACCCCGAGGGTATACGAAGGAGATTTCTTAGACTATGAAATGTCGAAGTCGCTGGTTTTGTATGATAGGCCAGCATTGTCTCGAATCGTCCTTTTCTAGATTACGATCGCATTCTTACTGGCATCTTGCTTGATGAAATACACGTTGCTTTCACTTGGGATCGGGGAGTGACAAGCATAGACATTTGGTTCAGCCGGGGAGGGTAGCTCTTAGGGTTGAGTTATCAGGGTTTGAGCTTTCAGGACACTAAGTGGGTTTCGTAATTTGAGAGTCCAGTAACAGCGAAGCCGTCGCTTGAGGGTCTATTCACACTGATTTTTTCCTCGATTTGGTCCTCATTTCAGACGCTTTCATTGCAAAATGCGTACTTCCATCATAGTAGTCTTAATCGCTTCCTCGTCTCCCCTTCGCTGTGTTTCCTTCAGGCACATTCAATACTGCATGAACAAGGTCAAACTCCTAAGAGACAATGGCGTCATTCCCGTGCTCGTCTTTGACGGCGGAAAGCTTCCCTCAAAATCCCAGCAAGAATCTAAACGAGACAAGTATGCTATCTTCCCGTCTGACTAGAGTTACGTCGAACCATGGTTCTGTTTATTTCAGCATTTTAATTCATTTTGAATTCCGCCTACATAATCGAGAATGATACATCCAAGGCGTTTTTTCATTTGTCTGCAATCTCCACTGTATCACAAACGACAATTCCCGTTCCCTGTGGATTTTCTGTTTCACAAAATTTCTGCTCTTCTTTGTATCGTCTGTATCCCGCAGATCAAGGAGGGAGAACCTTGAACGAGCGGAGCAGCTGCTGCTGAAGGGAAAACGTACCGAAGCAAGGGAGTGCTTTCAGAAGGCTGTTGACATCACACCTGCCATTGCTCACCAGCTAATCAAGGTCTGGCCATCACCAGATGTTTGAGTTCTTGTTGGCATATCAGTTCTCTGTTACACTTTCCTGATTCTTTCACCATAATTTTGTTTAGCTCTCCACATGCTCATTATAATATCGATTACGTTTAGTCACATTGAAACTTGTCACCTTTTTTCGTTACCCCACATTCACAGGTGCTGCTGAGGCAGGAGCACGTGGAGTACGTGGTGGCACCATACGAGGCTGACGCACAGCTGTGCGCCACCAGCTTCGTGCATGCGCTGCCTTCATAGTCATATTGCTTGCACAATGTCACTTCCTTCCATTGCTCCTAAGCATCCACACCCCCACTCCCCCCTGTGCAGGTGCTGAGGCAGGAGCACGTGGAGTACGTGGTGGCACCATACGAAGCCGACGCACAGATGGCGTACCTCTGCACAACCGGCCTCGTGCACGCAGTCATAACAGAGGACTCCGATCTCATCGCCTACTCCTGCCCGCGGGTCCTCTTCAAGATGGACAAGATGGGGCATGGTGACGAGATCGTATACTCCAACATAGGCCAATCACAGGAGCTCGCCCTGGCCGATTTCACCCCACAGATGGTCCTTGAGATGTGCATCCTCAGCGGCTGCGACTACCTCGACAGCCTGCCCAAAGTCGGCCTCAAAACAGCCCACGACTGGATCCGAAGGCACAGGAACTATCAGTCAGCGCTGGCTGTAGCGAAGCTGAATGGGCGGGTGGTGCCGGAGGAGTATGAGGGCGCGTTTGAGCAGGCGCTGCTGACGTTCCTGCACCACCGCGTGTACCATCTGGCTGATGAGCTCATGACTCATGTCAACCCGTTGCCGCCCACGCTTGGACCGGACACGGATCTGTCGTTTCTTGGACCATATCCTCCTCAGCGTGCTTCCTGCCTGTCCTCACTTACTCCCATTCTTGCCCTGTTTTTCCCCTACACATGCTAAAAAACACATTCTCTTCCGTTTTGCTCTTTCATTTTGTTTCCAGCTTGCCAAGATGCTCGTTTTTCATGTGATAGTTTCTCCTTGACTGTATGCTTTCACTCTCTCCCGTGCTTCCTTTTCTTCCCCTCTTCTCCCTATTTCGTTGTCTTCTCTTCCCTCCCTTCTTCCCCCACCATCCACTTTTCTTTCTTTCCGCTTCAACGATCTCCACTGAGCTCGCTCCAAGCCTCGTCCGCGCGATTGCCCTTGGCTATGTGGATCCCATCACATACGAGCCGTTCGATGTAAGGCCCATGACATACGAGCCGTTCGATGTAAGGCCCATGACATACGAGCCGTTCGATGTAAGACCCATCACAAAAGAGCCTATCAATGTACGAACCATCACATTAAAAGCTCTTTGATGTGATAACAACCGCGGATGAACCACTTGGGGTAAGATTCCGATGCACTGCACACGTAAACGCTCCAAGTAAGCGTTTTTTGTACTGATCTTGTGGGTTTTACACATGAGATAGGCTACTCGGGGTTTTTAGAACCGCCTTTTCCAAAAGGTTTTCTTTCCCTGCTCCACGGCTCTGCTTAGTAACCACTTGGTGCTGCATAGTAACCACCCGCCACCATGCTGTTTTGTCCTATTTTTTTATTTTTTTTGCAGGCGGAACGCGTACCCAAGCCACTGCCACCAGCTCAGTCACCTCGACTGAGGCAACGCACCCAGGCAGGCGCAGCAGCTTTTGCAGCAGCGGTCGGAGCGGCAGCAGTAGCAGCAGCGGCAGCAGCACGAGGGGGACAAGGCGCGGCTACCAACGGCAGGCCTGGCAGTGGTGGGCTGGGGAGATCGCCAATGCAGCTGCCAGTGCAGAAGAACAAGCTGTCTAAATACTTTCGTGAGTGCTCCGGTCTGATGAGTGCTTTGGTCTGGTAAGTGTTTTTGTCTGGTGAGTGCTTTGGTGCATGCGCTCAGCCGGTTTCATGCACAATACACTGTCCCCTTTCCTCTCCATCCACATCTCAACAATCCTTCATCCCCAGTCCCTGTGGCTCCTGGTGCCAAGACGCAGTTCCAACCACGACGAGGCTCGCCTGTAACGTCCTCTTTTGAGCCGCCTAAAGAATGGGTCATACACCACGAGGCTCGCCTGTAACGTCCTCTTTTGAGCCACCTAAAGAATGGGTCATACACCACGAGGCTCGCCTGTAACGTCCTCTTTTGAGCCGCCTAAAGAATGGGTTATACACCACGAGGCTCGCCTGTAACGTCCTCTTTTGAGCCACCTAAAGAATGGGTCATACACCACGAGGCTCGCCTGTAACGTCCTCTTTTGAGCCGCCTAAAGAATGGGTCATACACCACGAGGCTCGCCTGTAACGTCCTCTTTTGAGCCACCTAAAGAATGGGTCATACACCACGAGGCTCGCCTGTAACGTCCTCTTATGAGCTGCCTAAAGAATGGGTCATACACCACGAGGCTCGCCTGTAGCGTCCTCTTTTGAGCCGCCTAAAGAATGGGTCATACACCACGAGGCTCGCCTGTAACGTCCTCTTTTGAGCCGCCTAAAGAATGGGTCATACACCACGAGGCTCGCCTGTAACGTCCTCTTTTGTGCCACCCCGGTCATACACTGCACTGCACGGTTTCCTCGCTGACGTCTCTTGCCTTCTTCCCCACTCACCCCGTCTCAACAACTCTTCTCTTCCAGTCCCCACGGCTCCGGCTGCCAAGAAACAGTTCCAGCTGCCACGTGGCTCGCCTGTAGCCTGTCCTTTCTTTGCGCCTAAAAAATAGCCTCCACTGTTTCCTCGCAGACGTATCTTTCCTTCTCCTCCCCTTTCCTCACCACCCCCGTCTCAACAACTCTTTTCTTCCAGTCCCCACGGCTCCGGCTGCCAAGAAACAGTTCCAACCACCGCGAAGGTCGCCTGTAACGCCCCCGGTCCAGTCAGCCTTCGAGCCGTCTCGTCCTGAATCTGCTGCCGAGCCTGGCCCCGCTGGCTCGGCGAAGAAGCCACGTGACGGCAGCAGCGGAGGGGGTGGGCGGTCTGTGAGGTCATCAGCTGCGGGGCAGGGGTCTGCAGGGCTCACAGCCGGTGAAGGCTTGGTGGCAGCAGGGGATGGCATTTATGAGCCGGTGGTGGGGGAAGACTTGGTGCAGTTTATGGCAGGGACGGTTCTTGAGGAGCAGCAGCAGCAGCCAATTGCACCTGGGCCAAGAGCAGCTGTTGCCCGTGTGTTCCAACGATTCACTCCGCCCCGCTCCATTGCCGAAGCTGGGACCACTCCCGAACCACCATTGCAGCGTCGTCAACCGTACAAGCGAGCAGCAACACGTGCTAAAGGCGATAGGCAAGAGAACACGCCAACTGAGTGGGAACAGTTTGTGTTCCGGGGTAATGAACGAGCCCAAACCGAAGGGGAGGAGGAGACAGCAGAGGATGGAAATGAGCAATCGGAGGGTGTGTTGAGAAGGGATCGGGATTTGGACGGGGAGCGGGACTTGGGCGCGGACCTTGATGCGGATTTGGATGAGCTGCTGCTGCCTCCTGCATTTGACCTCGTGAATGACATGCCGGGCAGTCACGAAATAAGGCGAGTAGGACGGAGGCCAGGAGGGTGGAGGGCAGGCGGATGGATGGGCATGCGAGGGGCAGCAGGTGCAGCAAGGGGAGGAAGAGCGAGAGGAGGGGTGGGGATTGGAGGAGGGCGGGTGGTAGGGGTGGGAGCGGGCAGGGCCGGCAGCAGCAGGCAGCAGGCAGAAGCGGTTTTTGACTCGCCGAAGCGGATGCTGGGGAGCGGGCGAGGGGTGCTAGGCCGGGGAGTTCGGGGAAGGCTGGCGTCGGCGAATGTGGTGGTGCAACAGGAGATGTCCTGCTCCACATGCGTGGTGAGTCCCTCCTTCCTTCCTTTCTCTCCTGTTTCTCCTGCCGTTTTCTTGACGATTAGTCACCCATCATCGCCCCCAGGTCACCTGTGTAGTATCGTTAGTCAACTCGAATGGCTGAAAGTCGAGAATCTTTGTCACGGCCCAGTCAGCCTTGCTCCTAGAAGTGTATCCCTTCCTTCACATGCTGTGCTGGTTTGGTCACTTGGGTGGGAGGTGAAGCTTCCACCCAGTAGAAGAGTCGGTCCAGCTTCCTTCCAGCAGAGCACAGACGCGCAGATGCGAGGCACTGGCCTCTTTCCCCCCCCCTTGCCCCTGCAGACTTCCGTCAAGCCCTTCAGGTTGCTAGGGTAAGTAGCCTGTTCTATTCCCAGCTTCGCAGCGTCTCAGGCTATCAGTATCAGTATCGGCGCAGCTACAGAGGCCTCCTGTGCGCCACAGCTTGGGTCCTTTATTCGTCTTGTCTGTTTTGGTTTTCCACTAGGGCTTTTTTCCATGAGCCTTGTGTTATATTCCACCGTCTATCTTACCAGGATGCGTTGTGTGTGCTGTGTGTGTGCCTTGTCATGCACATTGAATCTCTGCTGTTTCGCCTGCTTTTTCCACGGAAACGCCCTGGTGTTATGGTGGATCTCTGCTCCACGGTGTATCTACTCTGCTTCATCGGTGGATCTACTCTGCTCTGCTTCACTGTCTTTGGGCGTGCGATGGATGACAACAGGGCTCCGAGTTTCTGCTAACTCCACCTGCCAAGCGCCCCTGCTTTGATGATGGTATGTCTGTATTGTTTTTCATTCATTGTAATGTGATTGTTTCTATAGCATCTATCTTATGATTTTCCAAAGTAGCATCTGGGCAGAGGCCGTTTTATGCAGGTGCGGCCTGTCCAGACTCTCAGTCGCCGTTTCTCTGCATGGCAGGTGCATCTCCAGCCGACGCCAGTTTCTTCTCGCTCACAGCAACACACACCATCTGCACAACGCACACTCTCTCGCGCGTGCAAGCACACGCCATGCATGGCATCGACATTGACCCATTCGCCGATCCATGGCCCGTGGGCCATAGCAGTGATCCCCTCCTCCCCCACGTCCTCCCATCCATCAGCCCCTTCGGCTCTGCCAGACCGTTTTCTGTGAGAGAAATGCAAGGAGAGGCGGAGGCGGCAGAGGAGGAGGAGCAGCCGCAGCAGGAGCAGGAGCAGGAGATGGAGGAGGAGAGTCCCTTCTTTAGGCCTGCCAGAAGCTCTTTCCCTTTTGCGCCTTCTCCTCTGCTGCCTCCCTCTCACTGCAGTGCTGCTGCTTCTCTACATCGCCGCCCACCTCCTTCCCCTCTTCCTCGTCTTCATCCTCGTCGTGCAACCACGGGCTTATTCACTCCCACAACTCTAGCTTCCCCACCCTCAGCTGCTGCTGAGAATCCGTTCGCTTCACATGTTTACCGCAGCCGCATGTCTGGTGCAGCTGCTGATGGTGGTGTTAGCACCACTGCCACCCCCGCTGCTGCCCCTGCCACCGCCAGTGCCGCCACTGCTGTTGCTGGTACAGCAGAAGTAGATGGTGGGTCACTCTGGCACGATCGGGGCACAGGTGCAATGGATGGATCAGATGCACCAGGTGGTGACGATGCAGATGCAGCGGACCATATGGATGGGACAGGCGAGATGGAAGGTGGAGGCGATGGGTCTGATGGGTCCAATGGGGCAGGTGGCTCAGACAGGGCAGCTCGAAATGAACGGGCTGGTTCTGCAGTGCAGGCAGAGGATATGGAGCAGGATGAGGGGCTTGGAAGGGGAGGATTCAATCCACCAGGACGGCAGGGTCTTGTGTACAGGATGCCGGTTGCTGGTCTGCCTCCTGGTAGGGGTTTGAATGCTGGTGCTGCAGGGGCAGGACGAGCAACAGGAGCTGGCAGAGGGAGAGGGGTGGGTGGTGTTACCGGCACAGTGCGAGGGGATCGCAAGAGAAATCTGGCACGGGGGAGTGCGTTTTTCAGAGGGAATGATGCTGAGGGCTGTGAAGATCGTGATGCTCAGAATGCGGGGAATGCTGAGGGCTCTGAGGATGGTGGTGGAGGCGATGGGGATGGAGAAGGGGATCGTTGTGGTGGTGGTGGTGTAGATAGAAACGAGTTGGGTGATACAGGGGATGATGCTGCAGAGGATGTGGACATGAGGAGCAGGAGTAGCAGCATGAGTGGACTATCGTTTGCTACTGATGTTTCGCATGTGTTACGGTACTCAGCGGTGGGGAAGGATGCGATGGAAAAGGTGGCTGCGAAACTGGCCAGCTTCAGGCACACTCCAGCGGAGAACAAGCCGAGAGGGAGGATGGGGCGCCGATTGGGAGGCTCGAAACGACAACGGTAAGGGTGTACAGTATACCAACTTTTGCGTAGGTTGATGTTTGTCGCATGGGTTGGGTTGAGGTGAGAAACAGGCTTGTTCGTTTCAATTCCGGCTCAAAGACGCGAAGATGGATCAGTTTATCAGGCGCAATGCCCCTCAGCCTACCAGCGTTGGTGTTGCCTTTTCAGCTAAAGAACATTCACGAGCGATTTTGGAGTTCGATCTCTAGCATCGCACACCATTACCTGTTGTCATTTCTATTAATATTTACCTTCCTAGGGTTCTATCACATAAGTTGCAGCATTTTCTTCAATTCAAGATCCACATAAAGTGAAGTGACATTGTTGCACGATTATTCTTAGCCAGTAACGCGGACATTCTCTCTGCATTTGTCTAACTGGTATGATTTGACCAGGCCTCTCGGTTTCATCACCTCAACTACAAAGCACGTCCAGTGTTGCTTGAGAATGAAAGCTGAGAGCATTTCTCCACCAGCTTTTGCTTCAATGGATTCCGACACGCCCTGAACTTTCTGAAACGATTATTTCAGTTGTGTTGTTGAGTGGCCACAGATGCTACCTTGCCAGCTCGTCTTCCTGATGATGGTCGCTGCGTCTCTCTGTAGCTAGTCCGTGCTGTCACTCGAAACACCACATACCTCGTCTCGAGCCGCCGTCGCTAGCTGCTGTCACGAATGCCGCAAGCGTCGCGGTGCTCCGTTTGCTTCCCTTTTCCTTCCTCACACGCTTCCCGTCAAGCGTGTCAAGACTACCAGCTTGATCAGCCTTTTGACTCCACAGCAGTCGCCTGGATGTGCCAGTCAATTCCAAATCTACTCTCACACACCGCAGTTTTTTTCCAGTCGATTCGCGAGCCCAACTATATACCAATGACCTCTCGCAATCGCCGTCCCTTCCCGTTCTTCGTACGGCCCGATCTCGTCCGTCTGTATGATGGCCTCTCTTAGCACAGTTCCCGGTCAGCCCGCCTTATGAGGCGGTTCAAATATAGTTTTGAGACGTCTCAGAACTCTGTCACTGTTCCCACCCAGTCCGTCAACTGAGGCGCCTCAAATCGAGGACCACGATTCTCTACCACCTGTGTAATGGCCCCGCGCAGCACTGTTCCCACCCTGTCCGTCAACTGAGGCGCCTCAAATCGAGGACCACGATTCTCTACCATCTGTGTAATGGCCCCGCGCAGCACTGTTCCCACCCAGTCCGTCGCGCGGCGCGTGCCGCGGCGATGGCTGCTCGCCGCCCTCTTGCTTCTCCTGCTCCCCTCCTCTCTCCTCATCCTCTCCCATCACCTCCACCTCCTGCATTCCCCCACCGCATCTCACGCTCGCGTCTCCAGCCAACTCGCCTCTCCCCTCCCTCACCCCCCTGCCGAAACGCCTCATAGTTTGACTTTCCCGCCACCCACTCCAACCACCGCAAGAACCGCTGTAAGATCAGCCTTGGATGGGTTTACCGAACATCCCTCCTCCATGGCTGCTGAAGACGGAGTTAGGGAAAGAGGATCCGGACACGTCAGCATGGAGGGACGGTGCGGATGGACGTAGTGAAACCAGCTTTGGGGGAGACACAGGGGGGGTTAGAATAGGGAGAAGTGGAGCAGATGAAGAGGCGGATGATTTGGTTCAGCAGCAGCAGAAGGAGGAGGAGGAGGAGGAGCAGGAGCAGGAGCAGGAGGAGCAAGAGGAACAAGCGCAGCAGGAGGAGCAGGAAGGGCAGAAACAGCAAGAGGAGCAGCAGCAGCAGCCTCACGGCCAGCACATTCCTGATCCAACAGCCTCCACCTATCATGGCGATTCCGCTACTCCTCTCATTTCCACTGACCTTCCCTCCCCCGACATCCACACTCCTGCGTCCTCTTCCTTTTCCTCCTCCTACTCCTCCTCCTCCTCCTCCTCCTCCTCCTCCTCCTCCTCCTCCTCCTCCTCCTCCTCCTCCTCCTCCTCCTCCTCGTCTTCCTCTCCCTTCGCGCCCTCAAAGCTGACGTGGCACCCACACCCGGACCGGTACCTCCTGGCAGTGTGCGTGCGCGGGCAGGTGAACCACCGCATTCAACCGCATTGCTTGCCTCTACCGTCACCACCTAATCTGTTTCGCTTCGCTCACCTCACCCTCTACTGTTCGCTGCCTTTCCAACCCACTCCTCTCTTTCCGCCCTTCATGCCCGCCAAGTTAACAACCGCATTTGCTGCTTCCGCCGCACCCTCGCTGCTCTTCTCAATCGCACCCCTGTGGTATCTTTTTCCCTTTTGAGTCGACTCAAAAGTCACCTCAACCGCACCCCTGTGGTATCATTTTCCCTTTTGAGTCGACTCAAAAGTCACCTCAACCGCACCCCTGTGGTATCATTTTCCCTTTTGAGTTGACTCAAAAGTCACCTCAACCGCACCCTTGTGGTATCTCTCTCCCTCTCCTCTTCTCCCCTTTCCTCTCACCTCGTCGCTCTGTTTCCCTCACCTCTTCTCCCTGTTTCCCTCTCCACTTCTCCCTTTTTCCCTGTCTGCTCCCTTTTTCCCCCTCCTTTTCCCCTTCTTTCCCTCTTCTTTTCTCCCTTTCCCCCCCATCAGGTGAACAACCGCATTGGCTGTCTCTACCGCCACCTCATCCTCGCCGCGCTGCTCAACCGCACGCTGCTCGTCCCGGCCCGCTTCCCCTCCGTCACCCCCCTGCTCTGCCAGCGAGGGGCATCCGGCCGTGCATGCCCCTCCTATCCGCTCCCCCTCTTCTGGGACCTCAACCACACAAGACGCTGCCTGGGTGCGGCGTCCGTAATCAGATCGGACGAATTTGCCGCCCGGTTCGGCCGCCCGGTAGAGGTGAACCACATGCGGTGCTGGCACGGGCCGGAGGGGCTCTGCCACCCAACGTATCCCATAGTGAAGAAGAACTGTCTAGTGGGCACGGCGCTGAGTTATGTTGCTGAGAATCTGCGGAAGAAGTTTGGCGGGCGGAGAATGGCGAGCGATGTCGTGCATGCAATGCTGCTCAACGGGTCGTCTCTGCAGTCGCACAGTGGTGTGTCTGAAGCTGATGAGTCTTCAGAAGACACGGAGCGGTTATCATCGCGTTCCCTGTCGCCCGAGCCCACAACTGTGGGAGACCACCTGCTGCAGCTCACAGGGAGAACGCTCAAGCACTCTTCCTCGTCTTCTTCTTCACCCTCCTCCTCCTCCTCCTCCTCCTCCTCCTCCTCCTCCTCCTCCTCCTCCTCCTCCTCCTCCTCCTCCTCCTCCTCCTCCTCCTCCTCCTCCTCCTCCTCTTCGACCCCCGCCTCCTCCTCCTCGCTCCCCGTCCACCCCACGCGCATCGACCCCATCCGCATGATCATGCTGCACCAGCCCGGCGCCGTCTCCATCCCGCCCTCCGCCACCGCCTCTGCGCTCTGCCTGCCGCGCTTCGTGCATGCCTCTGACGTTCTTCGTGCGTACGGCCCTCTAGGGGAGTCCGTGCGAGTGCTGGCTGTGGGGGATCTGGTGGGGACGGCTGTGCTGGGCCTGCCTCACAGGTACGCGCTGCTGCAGCAGAGGGCGCGGAGGTGGGAGGAGAGCGGGGGAAAGCGGCAGGGTGGGGCAGGAAAAAGGGAGGGCAGGGGGTTGGGTGGGAGAGAGGGGCAAGTAGAAGAGAAGGGGTTTCAAGTGGAAGGCTCATTTGCGGGTCAAGGCAGAGACGGATCATCTGACCTGGGGGATGGATATTCCAGAGGGAGGAAACTTTGGCTGGATAAGGATTTCGTCCGCCCGCCCGGCGGCCGGTGGCTGGGGAGTTCGGGCAGCGGCGGGCTCCGTGATTGGTTAAGCATCTTTCAGTTCCTGCCCGGATGCCGCAACACAGCGGCCATCATCCCGCCCCCGGCAGTCTTCCAGCGAGCTCGAGCCATCATCCGATCCCTGTTTGGTGCTGAAGCAGTGGATGCTGGTGCATCTGGTATGGGTGATTCCGCAGAATCGGGGACAGGTAATTCTGGTGGTGACGGCCCAACAGGGGAGGTTGGAGCAGGGGAGGGTAAAGCAGGGGAAACTGGAGCATCGACTGACGCTGACCTGCCTGTTCCGGCAAACCTGCCAGCGTTTTTGGCGGTGCACTGGCAGCGGGGCGACTTCCTGCAGTTCTGCGCGCGCTCAGGGCCGCCCGGCTTCTGCTTCTACTCGCCTGTGCAGGCCGCGCAGTGCGCTGCTGACGTGGCGCGCCGCAACGGGCTTGCGAATGTCTACGTGGCGACGGATGCTGATGACAAGGAGGTGAGCCAGATGGGTGCGAATCTGTTGTCTTGTTCTCTCTTTCTTACTCTGCGTGTGCCTCCTCTCTCTCTCCCACCACATTTCACTTATGTTCCCTTCCACCCTCCCTCTGTTCCTCGCCGTCTTTTGATTGGCTACAGTTCCAAGAGTTTCGAGAGACGTTGGGTCCAGAATTCTCTGTGGCGAGACTCCCCTCTTCCCCATCCCCTCTATTGCCGGACCTGCATCAAGACCCCTTGTTGGGCCTTAGGCAAGGGGCTTTTCTCAAGGATGCAGCAAGCCTGCTGTACACCATATTAGATAAGGTTATCTGCGTTTATTCTACTGTGTTTTTAGCCACACCATCGTCAACGCTGTCAAATGACGTTGCTCGTATAAGGGAGGGGATTGGCATTCCTGCTGCAATGGCTGCGGCTGCAGCTGTTGGAGCAGAGGAGGAAGCAGTGGGGGAGAGTGCAGAGGTGAGAAAAGGGGTTGATTTTGGAGAGAGTACTGGAGTGGAGGAGGGAAGGGACGGTGCTCTGTGTGAGGGGCAGAAAGAGTGGCATCCTATGGATGGCTTGCCCAAGAAGCTTCAACAATTGAAGGCCTTGAGGATTCTGTCAAATGATAAGGGAGAATGGTAAAATTTGCAAGGAGCTGTATCTTACGGTGGGTGCCCCTTGAAGTGACAGCCATGGTGGTTTCAACATACTTTCTGTATGCCACCCAAACGATAAGGTTATGTGTACCTATTTGTAACAACGGAGATCCGCAGCACTGTAGCGCGTCACCTGCGTACGCCAATCACCTACGCAACCACCAATCATCCCTTCCAGCCGACATCTGCCGAATAGCAGCTGACACAACCACGCGAGACGACGGTCGCACACGTCGCCGAAGGCAAGTTGCCTAGATGCCCGTCGCACGAAGTCAGGACTCCAGGGATTTCGGAGACGAGTCTTGATTCCTCATGCTTCTACAGCTGGGATTTCCAAATCCTCCCACTGCCTCCCCTAGTCTGGCATTCACTAGTCGTCGTTCCTGAATGCTCTCCCTCTTTTATTCTGGCATTCCTGACCAGTCTCTACCACCAGCTAAAGAAAGTAGCAAGCCGACTGCTTATCGTTTATTGCTTATCGGAGACACTCCTACTCGTGAGTTCCACTTATAGTGCTCCACAGCAAAATGTCGCTTTTCAAGCCAGGTTACAGCCCATGACCTCGTTCTGATTCGGCGTGCTTGGCGGTAGTACCTCACAAGAAACAATCCATGGATTCTCGAGTCGACGCGAAGTCCTTTCGGGGGTGTCGGTACCTGGCTGATAAGACACCCATTGTGCTAGGTTCATGCTGGCTCAGCTAACAAGAAATTGTTGTTGATGAATTCCTGAGTCGGCTCAAAAAACATCTCGTGCTTGCCGATACCTACTAGAAAAGACGCAGATTGTGCAGGGTTTCTTGACTCAGCTGACAAGAAGCTGTTTGGGAATTCCTCTGTCGACTCCATAATCACCTCGTGCTTATCTATACTCGGCTGGCAAGAGCGAGGTCATGGATTCTGGAAAGTATGTCCGGAGCGACCTTGATAGGGATTGTGCCGGGGCTCCTGCTGAGTCATCAGCAGCCGCAGCCAATGGCGTCGCACGACCAGACCTACATTCCACGTTCGGACCGGTCCTACGCGAAAATACGGCATCGTCGACGCGACATCATGCGTCGCCGCTGAAACAGCAGCAGCAGCACCAGCAGGAGCAGGAAGAGGAGGATGATATTTCCTCCTTTAAAGAATCTGATAGCTTACTTCTGAAAGATGGGATTCCGATTATTGATTCCACCCTTTCTTCCCACAATCTCAAGCTTTCAAGCTGGCCTTTCTCGAGTAATTCCCTGATTTCAAGAGTCTTCCGGTCTCCCACTGTCCTCCTCCTCCTCTCCCTCATCTTCCTCCTCGTCGGCCTCTACACTCTTTTCCTGCAACCCGACTCGCGCCTCTCCTCGGATACTGTAGACTTATCCATCGCATCCGCCAATGAGCTGCTGCCAGGTCAGACCCAAGATCCCCCCCCCTGGATGCAGGAACCAGGCTCGCCTTCCACTACCAGTCAAAAGCACAATGCAGCGGACCCCGAACCTCATTCCGATCCTGAGTCCGACCCGAGCCATCACGGCCCGGATACAGTAGTAGCAAATTTTCATGCCGCGGTGGAGAAAGGCTCATTCGGATCTGAGGGTGAGAGGGGGTCGCTGAGCGGTGGTGAGAGTGGGACGTGGCGTGGCAAACTGGTGTGGACGCCACAGCCCAACAGGTTCCTGCTCGCCGTCTGCCTGCGAGGTCAGGTGAGACGCGGGAGGGAGGGTGGTCGGGTAATTATTGGAATGGCGGTAAGGTGGGAGGCCACTGAAAACAGTTACGCTCTCCTGCAGAAGAATGCATGCATTCCCGTGACACGCCACGCACACCTGCCTGTCTTCTCTCCCCGCTCCTCCCTTCCCCACATTCCTCCCCCCCGCCCCCCCACGTCTCTTCCAAGCCGCTCAGGTCAACAACCACATTGCCTTTCCACTCGTCTCAGCCTCCGCTGCTTTCTGCGCCTCCTCAACTGCACCTTTGTGGTCCCGTTTTCCCTCTCCTCTTCTCCCTTTCCCCCCATCAGGTGAACAACCGCATTGGCTGTCTCTACCGCCACCTCGTCCTGGCAGCCCTCCTCAACCGCACGCTGCTCGTCCCCCCCGTGCTCCTCTCCACCTCCCTCGCCTACTGCAAGCACGGCCTCTCCGGCTCCCCCTGCCCCTCCGTCCCTCTCCCCCTCATCTGGGACCTCGCCCACACGCGCACGTGTCTGGGCGGCGACACCGTCCTACGCACGGACGAGTTTGCCGCCCGGTTCGGCCGCCCGCTAGAGGTGCATCACATGCGGTGCTGGCACGGGCCGGAGGCGACGTGTCCAATGAGCAATCCTGGGCTGCTGAAGAACTGCTTGGTGAATGACACGGCACAGGGGGGTGGAGGGGGGAGGAGGAGGCTGGCGGGGGTGGATGGGATGAGAAAGCTGTCTCGAGAGGGAGTGGGAATGGGAAAGGTGGCGGCTGATGCTGCCGATGCTGTGAGAGGGTGGTTTGGAGGGAGAGCGATGGCGTGGGTGAGAGGGAGCAGGAGAAGAAAGCTGCAGCAGCAGTGGACCCGGCAAGGCAGTCCCTCCATCAACTGCTCCCCACCGCTCTACACGGTCCAGTCCTTCGCCGACTCGCCCCTCCAAACATCCGCAGCCCACCTGCACTTGCTCCCCCACCAGCTCTCCCCAGATGTGCATATCAGCGTTAATGCCACGGCGTCAGCAGTGTGCTTCCCCCGCTTCGTGCACGTGCGCGACATCCTCCGTGCCTATGCTCCACTATCATCCTCCGTCCCTGTGCTTGCTGTGGGGGACCTGGTGTTCACCGCCTTTCTCGGCCTCTCAGACAGGTGAGTTATTCCTTGAGGTGCCAATGCCACGGCGTCAGCAGTGTGCTTCCCCCGCTTCGTGCATGTGCGCGACATCCTCCGTGCCTATGCGCCTCTCTTGTCCTCCGTCCCTTTTCTCGCCTTCCAGGACCTTGTGTTCACCGCCTTTCACGGCCTCTCACGCAGGTACGTCTTTAGGCGACCCAGAATGCTCTCAGACAACGCACCTCTCTCCTCCACCGTCTCTGTGCTCGCAGAGGAGGCCCTTGCATTCACTCACTTGATCTTAAAGCCCCTCTGAAGTTCTTTGTGTGCTAGTATTGAAAGCCCCTGTATTACCCCTCTTCCCGCACTCTCTGCCAGGTACGAGCCCTTCAAGGAGCGTCTGTTTCGGTACAAACGGTGGCGCGAGGGCGAGGAGGCTTCACAGGAAAGGAAGGGCACCTCGTTGAGCGAATTTAATGGCACGCTGGCGAGCAGCAGCAGTCAGGTGATTCTGGAGTCTGACTTCCTTGGGCCAGCAGGGGGGCGGTGGCTTGGGAGTGCAGGAAAGGGGGGTCTGAGAGAATGGAGGAGCATGTTCCACTATCTGCCGGGCTGCCCGGTTCCTTTGCCCATTCTGCCGCCACGGGAGGTTATTGAGGACTCTAGGCGGCTCGAGCAAGCCTTGTTTGATGGTGGGGAGAGCGGTGCTGGAGGTAGCAGCGGGGGTGGGGGTGACAGGGGCAGGGATAGCAGTTTCACGAATGATACACTTGCACCAGGGGCAGCAGGGGCAGGAGGGTCAGGATGGGAGAATCTCCCAGCCGTTTTACCTGCAGCAGCAGGCGGTGCATCGGAGGGTGGGGGAGGGGGGTACCTGGCGGTGCACTGGCGGCGCAGTGACTTCAAGGACTACTGTGTGTGGTCGGGGCCTTCTGGCTTCTGCTTCTACTCCGCACAACAGGCTGGCAAGTGCGCTGCTGACGTGGCACGGCGGAACGGGCTGAGCAGTATTTATGTTGCTTCTGACGCCAACGTGGAGCAGGTCAGTTGGTGTACTCTCTCTCTCAGTGATAGATTCGGGTGCTTGATTCACCGACCTGTTTCTTCTTCGGTTCCGCTGCCCCCATGTCCCTCAGAGGCTTCCCCTTTCTCACCCTCCTCCCATCCCTCTGCCATCCCCAATCCTCCATTTCTCTACCACTCCACAGTTTGAAGAGTTTCAAAAGGCTGCAGGCTCCTCATTCAAGGTCATTCGCTACCCCGACAATCCATCAGCCTTCCTCTCATCCTTCTCCTCAGACCCGCTCATTTCCAGCCTCCCTGCCTCCATAGATCGAGAGGAAGCTTCTCTGCTCCTGCACATGCTCCTTGACAAGCTTATCTGTGTACGCGCTACAGTGTTCCTCGCCACCATGTCATCGACTCTATCCAATGACGTCGCTAGAATGCGTGAGGGGTTCGGCGTGCCAGCAGCCTTAACAGCTGCTGCTGATCCTGGTGCTGGCAATGCTAGGAAAATGGCTGCAACCAATGATGCACCAGGTGACGTTGGTTTGGAATTTGTGGTGAGCTCGGGTGTAGAGGAACTGAGAGATGGTGGGCTGTGTGAAGGGGAGAAGGTATGGCATCCCCTTGAAGGGTTGTTTGGGTGGATGAAGGACATGAAAGCCAAGAGAATGGTTGAGCATTCAGCAGGTGAGTGGCGGAGATGACTTGCTGCTGTGCGGATTTTTCAGAAATGGGGTTCCTATAGCAGGTGTACGAAGTATATATGGGAGAAATTTAAGAAGTCTTTACCATTTCTTGTCATACTGGTACTAAAGTACTGGTTTGTGTTCAAGAGGTAGTCTCAGTTAATAACCAATGCAATAGATACAGGGGGCCACGAACACTACAGGCTTTAATACTGAATGTAATATGTACGACCAAGTGTGGTAGATCAATCCTGCATCCGCGTTACTAGCTGCCTTTCCCTTTAGACTGACCACCCACAGCTGCGGCAGCTGCTTTCTTAGCAGCCTTCTCTTGAAGAGCCTTGGCGTCCCTGGAAGAAAAAACGAAACAGGAAATATGAATTATGGTTAAAAGAATAACAACAATACAACAATAAGAGGGGTCAAGTCATGCTCCCACGCCCAGTTTGAACCTGTGTTGTCCCTTTCTCAAAAACAGCTCAGACGCGTTGAGAAAATGTGTGCATGAGCGATTGACACGCAAAACAGGATAATTACCTCTCACGGCGTTGCTCCGGGGTCAGACCGTCGGTCTTCTTGTTAGCGCCGTTCTTTGCTGCTCGGGCCTGAGCCCTAGCGCGATCAGTGTCCCGCTGATTACCGCGTATATTGTTAAAACACAAGAAGGAAAACCAGTTAAGGAGAAACTTGTTTCCTACTCATACGGAACATGGAGCAGACGAAAATCAGAAGAATGCAAAAACGAAAATGGCCATGTCGCTACATAGGAACTTCAAAACTGCAGCATAAGAAGAGCTTCATAGTTGCCGAGAATATGAAGAAAGAGAAGCGCTGTGCAGGATATGACTCATTTATACTGGATGGTTGCGCCTCTGGCTGACGAATCAAGGAGGTGCTGCAAGGACGGAGATGAGCTAAGGACGAGCAAAAGAGCCAAAACTATTTGTCTTCCAACTGAACGAGTTTTCCCAACGGTTCTCAGCTAATTAGAACACAACGCGAGGATAATCGCGTGAAGAACGGGAACAGCAAACTCTTCAACTGAAATGCAGGCTGGTTTTAGTTGCAAATCATATGTTTTCCTTCTGTGAAATGAGAGGCAGAAGAGGCGGAACGGAAGCAGCAGAGGGAAGGGATGGGAGGGGAGGAGATGGGATGGTGGAAGGAACGAGGTTACGCGAAGGATCGCCGGAGAAACAGCTTCCTGACGCGAATCAGCTTCAACAACAACCATTCGCTGACGACGGAACTTGTGGTTGGCGAAGTCCGTACAGTTTTCGCAAGTGCGGAAACAACCATCCAGCGTGTCGCGATGTGCCAGAGCTGCGCCTAGAATGTTCCACGGCAAATTGTGGACCTCAAATTCAGCGCTAGCTGGGACGGAATCTCGAGAACAGTGGTGTCGCGGGTTTGCGAGCGAATCCTTAGAAGGAATTCGGAAAGAAGCGATCAACGACCCCTGCGACTGGGCTGAAAGGTGAAAATGACAGTCACATTACAGTGTACACTCCCCACTATAATTTCAAATGGTGTTTGAGAATTCTGCCCTTTATAAATCGTGGTTTCCATGTAAAATGACTGGATTTGAGCACCAAACATTGTAGATATTCTCTTTACTGCATTGACACCACCAAGCAGATTGCCTGGGAAGAACAGCAGGCGAGGCACATACCACCAGCCCTATCTTCTTACAAGCCTGAGAATCTGATCCACTAAACCAGCTCATGTCACAAAAACGTTTCCTTCAAAACGCTTCCGCTTAGTTCATGCGCCGGATGAGCGCGTTGATCTTGTCCTCACGGTTACCAGCATCACCTCCCTCCACGAAGTGCAGGCGCTTCTTCTTCATGCCACCATTGGGCGCCGACAGCTTGAAGGGCCACAGGAAGTTGTTGCACGCCTTGAAGTGCGGGCCCGTCGTGAAGATCTGGTAAATCAAATCCTCCACACACAGAATCTTCTTCTGCCCCAGCACCTGGAAATATAGGGCACAACATGTGGAAATGATGAAGAGTAAGAATCCAAATGAAAGGTACCCGTTTGAATTACGGGATCGGCACAGAGGGTGAGGAAGTTCTCAGAGCAGTGAGAGTGAGGGCAGATGCGAGGGGACTTACTTTTGCACGACAGAGTTCTCGGTGAGGGCGATGCGCTGGTGCCTGACCCATTTTGAGACGTCTCAAAAATCAAGAAAGAGGGAAGATGCGCGAGGAGAGACTCACTTTTTGCACGACGGAGTTCTCAGTGAGGGCGATGCGCTGGTGCCTGACCTTGCCGAACCCGCGCTTGTAGATCAACTCACGCACTGACTTCAGGTTCGGGTAGCTGTGGGGCGCAGCGTAAAGGAAGCAGGGATCACACAGGATATTTTTCAGGTGGGCAACAACATCGAAGGACACAGCACAGTGTGGCCAGGGATGAGTGGAAATGCATGAGACGCAGGCAACAAAAGAGACATAAGGATTGAAGGTGACAGTACAAAACCCAAAGCAGCGTTCGTAAAATAGTAACAGTACTCAAAGCAGCGTTCGTAAGAACAACGAGCTCACTCACCCGTAGGTGACGTAGGGCTCCACCAATCGCAGCATCTGCAGCGTTGCCTTGGTGACCCTCAGGAACACTCCGTTGAAGATCTGCCGACGACGGGGGCCAAGGCGGGAATTTAGGATGGTAGGCGAAGGTGAGTTGGAGTGGGGAAGAGGGGGGTTAGAGAGGATTGACGGTTTGGTCCGCGCAAATGCGGGAAGGGGAGGGGTGCTGTGGCAGGAAGAGGTGGAGTGACGAGGGAAAAGCTTGCGCGTCTCTTATTCTTAGGTTTGTACGGATTACAACCCGAGGACCGGGAAAGTTTCCATCCTCTCACTTGGCGAAGGTGCGGAGGCTGCATGCCCTTGCTCGTCTAATCTTTATGTGCATCATTGAACATGCAACCTGGAGACGCGGAAGGTTCCATGCTCTCACCTGGCGAAGGCGCAGCAGCTGCATGATCTTGCGCGTCTTGGGGTGCATGTCGTTCACACTGGCGCCATGGGACGCACGCAGAACAGCGGTGGGAGGGATCCGGGGAGGGGAAGGGGAGGAAAGGCGTAAGGATGGCTAACAAGTGTGCATGGATCGGTGATTTAAGGATGAACAAAATCCACTGAATGCAGCACGGCAAAAGGGGACGTGGGGCGAGATTTTGCGGGAGTAAGCAGGGCAGAAACGGCCCATCAGAGAGGGAAATGGGGAGGGCGACTCACCCACGAATGCGGATGATGAAGAGCAGCTTGGGCTCGGGCTCGACATAGAAGCCGCCGCTCAGCTTCGCCTCGCGCTTCAGCTCCACCAACTCGCGCTCCTGCGGGAGAAAGCGGAGCAGTCGGTCATGCGTGCACACAGAACGATAAGCCTCTTTGCTCAACTAGGGGCGCAGCGCAAATGAATGAGGAACGTGTGTCAGATGTCTTCGCCCGAGGATGCAGCTCTCGCTTCGCGATGCAGATTTCTCTTTAGTTTCGCAACACTAGGAATGGGGAGAATCGCACGGGACCGGCAGATTCCATTCTGCAGCCGAAAAGAACGCCCTGAAGCCAATGATCCTGTAGAAATCGGACCAAGCACAAACCTACCTCCCCTGTAATAGCTCTCATAACCGCGCGATCAGCTGCGCGCCTAGCCATGAGACCCGCCGGGCACCCTTCAGGTTCTCAGACGCAGAAACCTGACCTTTGATGCACCTGCTCCGAATGCGCAGCTCGCTCCCTAGCTACACCGCATTCGCCAACCTACTCGGCGCATTTTCTCCCTGACTCGCCTTCAGACTAATCCACCAGACCTATCATCGCAATCACCACGATTCCCCACTACCTCGCCTCGCCGCACGGACGCATCGAGACTGCGTCTGACAACCTCGGCCCCCAGAGTCACCGCCTCGGCGCCCATCAGACGATCCTAGAGTCGACTCAAAATCGTCTCATCATCCCGCCTCGCCGCACGGACGCATGATGACTGAGTCCTACACTAGTGCCCCTCGCTGCACGTCCACAGCCGCTGATCACCGCCCGCTGCTGCTCCCTCTGTACGCAATTCTCCTAGTAGCCGATCGACAAGCGCCTGCTACCAAATCCATTCCAAAGGTTTCTCACTGCTGCAGCGCATATCGTCCGAGACCTAGCTGCCGTGACCTAGGTCAGACCCGCTAAGCAGATACCGTCCCTGCCGCAAAAAATCGGAAAACTGGCGAGTCTGTGAGGTCGCCGTGCCGTCATCACGCCTACAGGGCGCGTCCTTGGTGCGTTCTAAAACTCATCTCGAAAACGAAACTTGTACCGGCGATACTTGTCCCAGGTTGAAACTTCTACCTCCACACTAACGTTTCGAAAGCTGACACGTGGCACGGAACAAGTCGCCGCCTCCCACCTTGCGCGCGTACGACTTGTCATAGGCGGCGGCGCGTTGGTGGATGATTTTGCGGATGAGCTTGTTCTTGGCCTTGCTCTCCTGCGCCTTCTTCTCGATCGCCGCGCCCCACTTCTCCTCGCGCTCGCGCTTCTTCGCGATCGACTCGGGCACCGCCTCCGAACTCATCTTGATTCACCTGCCGGGGAGAAGAGCGGAAACGGGCGGCGAAACGAGGGGCATTCTGAGCGGCTGACTCCGCGGTCCATTTAGGGACCGAGCTTCTTTGCGATCGACACGGGCATCGCCTCGGGAATCAGCTTCACACCACTCTGGCGAGCAGGAGCGGGGAGGGGGAGCGGATGAACGTGAAGAAGCGGGAGGAGGGGAGGGACCGGAATGGGGGATGGAAGGGTGAGGGAGAGGAGACGCGGGGCGGAAGCGGGGGAAGAGAAGGGAGGAATCGGAAGCGGTGGGGCAGAGGCCGAGCGCTGGCCGAGGGGGAGTCAGAGGCGCAAAGAGCAAGGAGGGAGCGGGGGGGGGGGGGGGGGGGGGGGGGGAGCAAGAGAACGACGGAGCTGGAGTCAGGATGAGTATCGTGTGACGGCAGAGACAAAGAGGAGAATCCTGGTGGCGGTGCGCTGAATGCAGGGGAACTCATCACTCAATCCTGTTCAGCTCGCTGTCTCTGGAACGACCAATCGCCTAACTGTCCGGCTAACACGTGGAGGCCCGAAAGTGCATGGACACTGAAAAAACTGCTCTCACGAAAACTCTGAGTAATATCCCACGCTAGACAAGCTAACCCTAAAAACCACTTCAGGTGTGCAATCCATGCGGGTCCCGCGAATCGGGGCTGTCACAGACGGATGACGGTATACATGGTGCACCTAGCTACAACCAGCGCGAATCGCGGACGAATTAGCTACTCACTTTGTGTGGGGTGTCCTCCCAAAATTTTACAAGGGGTGGAAAGGGGACGGGAAAGGAAAGAGAGAAGACTTTCAAGGGAAAGAAAAGAAGAGGAAGGTGGAGGTGGGAGGGAGAGGGGCGGACTAATTCTGCGAGCAGAAACCAGGGGGCTCGAGAGGGGAGAACCGGGGAGGGGGACAGAGGGGGAGGTTGGGGGGAGAAAGGTCAGAAGGTAGGGGTGGAGGTTCTGGCGGAGAGAGTATCGCGCGCGCGTGGCGTCGTCAGGGAGAGTACAGGGAAAAGGCGAGGTGAGCGGCGAGGGAGCAGCAATCTGCGGGAAACTGGAGCGTGGCATACCACCACCATATCCAGTGATGTAACAAATTGAACGCCTTTATGAAATATTTGAAACATTGAGTCCATAAATCAAAGCCGAATTCTTGGAACTGACCTGTTCTTGGATAAGGATTATTCAGGCCTGAAGCTCTTTGATACCTGCAGCACGAAAACCTACTACGAAAAGCATCATATCTGTGGCAATCACGGGGAATTTCTGAATTCTAACCCAATCTCACTTCTTCTGTGCAGAGGCTGCACTCTTTCTGGAGTTCCTACCTACACTTCCAGACGAAAGCTCTCATGTTCAGTGCAGCGTTTAACATTGCCTTCAAACAACACATACAAAAGGCCAGAAGAACTAAGCTACAGAGCACCACATCATAGCCTAGCCTCCGAATCAATATCGTGAGCTCCTTTTACATTATGACATATTTGCCTCGCTGTGCTTTACATGCCGCCGAATGCCTTCTTGCCCTTGCCACCATCGGAGCCGTGGGGCATCACCTTGAGCACGTTGAATCGCACTGTCTTCGACAGCGGCCTGCCCACACCAACGGGTGAGTCCAATTGGCACACAGCAAGACGGGAAAATTCGTTGACTCAAGCTTTTGACAGTATGTTGGGGGGGGGAGGGGGGAGGGGCGGTCGGCATGAAAACCTCCTTGAGCACGTTGAATCGCACTGTCTTTGACAGCGGCCGGCGCACACCAAGGGGTGGGACTCGTTCGCACACCACAAGGGGGAGTTTCGTTTGGACGAAGAAGTGACAGTGGCACGGCACAAGGGAAGGAGGACGGTTTGGTCTGTTTTGAGGATGACAATAACAGAGCATAAGACGGCTCAGAGGTCATCCAGGCGGATGATGACACACGGACGAACGCTAGTAGCTGGGGAAAAGGGACGAATGGGCCCACAATAATATGGGCCCACAATAATAAGACCCATGATAAGACCTGGTCTGACCCATGATCAGACCTGCACTGACCCATGATAGCCTCATTCCTCTCTTCACAATCCTCTGCTCTAGCCTACTATCAGGACAGAATACTGCCATGTAGTGACCCACTCACAAGAAGAAGCCCTCCCCTCGATTCTTCCCACCCGACTTGCAGAGCCTGACAAGGAGGGCGGCACGCACACCTGCACTAGCTGACTTGGCCGACTATGCGGGTCGTCTCCAACTTTCTCCCCCCTATACCCCGTGCGTCCACTGACCTGCACTGCCCCACCATGCCTCACTGCCCGACAATCAGTGTCGTCTCACCCCCCTTCCTCCACCCCATTTTTCCCCCCTCTCCCGCCCCCTGCACTGACCTGCACTGCCCCACGATGACCTGATCCCCCTCCTTCACGCGGAAGCACGGCGACACGTGCGCCGACAGGTTCGAGTGCCTCTTCTCGTACCTGCACGCCGCGGGGGGAAGAGGGGGGAGGGAGTGGTGGCAGGGGAGGAAGTGACTTTTGAGACGTCCCAAAAGTCGACACGTGCGCCGACAGGTTCGAGTGCCTCTTCTCGTACCTGCGCGCGCGGGGAAGGGGGCGGGTGGGGAGGGGAAAAGTGGCGGGGGGGAGTTAGGCGGGGAGAATTGCACAGGAAACAGTAGGTCGTCGGTGGCTAGTTGTCATTTCATGTGGCCAATGGTCAGGAGCTCATGAAGTGGCGTTCACTGCCACTCACCATTGGGCAATTGCGCCTCACCATAGTCAACGTTGGACCTCGTTATAAACTCCCCGTTAAAACTCGCTATAACTCACCATTGGTACTCGCAATAGGTAACCTAGGTAACCGTTACTACTCAGTATAATGCACCGTTGGTACTTGCGCACGAAGTGGAGGTAGTCGGGGCGGATGGTGATGGTGCGGTTCATCTTGGTCGACAGCACCGTGCCCGACAGAACCGCTTGTACTCGTTATTAGTCACCGCTGGTACTCACTATACCTCGTCCCCGCTATAAGACACCGTTGGCACTCACTGTTGGTACTCACCGTTGGTACTTGCGCACGAAGTGGAGGTAGTCGCGGCGGATGGTGATGGTGCGGTTCATCTTGGTCGACAGCACCGTGCCCGACAGAATGCGCCCGCGGATCGACACGTTGCCCGTGAACGGACACTTCTTGTCGATGTACGTGCCTGTGCCGGGGGGAGGAGCGGGGGAAGAATGGCGCGGGAGGAGGCAGGGGAAGGGCACGACGGGTAGAAAGGGAATCTGAAACTGCGACTACAACAGGGAGACGGTGCGCGTGGGGAATCAAGGACACGTGAAGGGCCAGCGAATGCCCATGGCTCCTCAAGGAAAGCCCTTGCAGGAATTTCGACAATCTAGCGATTGTTTCCCTATCTCGCTCCCTTACACCCCACGGGTAGGGAGACAGACACCCCATCCGTCCCCCGTTTCCTCTCTTTCGACAGACGAGACGAAGGTGCATCTAAGTTGTACCAAAGGTGCGTCAAAAGAACGCCAGCGCACCTTCGATGGCCTCGCGGGGCGTCTTGAAGCCCAGCCCCACGTTCTTGTAGTAACGGTTACCCGCCTTGCCGGGCGTCCTCAGCTTCTTCTTCGCTGAAACGTCGCCGCTGCCAGTCGCACGCACGGGAGCGAAGCAGGGCACGAGGGTCGGGAAGGGGGGAAGGCGTCAACGCAGAGGGATGAAGGCCAGAGAAGAGAGTGAATACAAGTGAACAGATCGATGGACAACAGAGGGAGCCTCACATAACAACCTTCCAACACCGCTTTGCAACGGTCGATCCAATCACTAAACCGCGCTCCTTGATCATACACGGGGTAGTCATTGAGTCAAGTCTTGAGGAGTCAAGTCCCGAGTTACCTCGCTTACAATACCATAGGACTTAATGTTGATCACACATTCACGGTCCCTGGCTATTTGCAAACTGACAGCGATCAACCTCGTCTCGGCGTGGCGGATACACGATACCCAACGATCGAAGCTCCATGGTACAACTGACTATCTCGGCAGAAATAGGTATCCCTCCACCAGTTATTAATAAAACACGATAATTGGAAGAACCATAATAGCACTCAGAAGTAACCATGATGCGCTGCTCTTGTAACGAAGCCCACGGTGTAACCACGCCCACGATGTTATTAAGAATCTACGGTACAAATAAGTCTATGGTGTAACCTAGTTCAAGAATCTACGTACCAGAGGAAGACTCCCTGCTGCTTCTGAAAAGCGCGCTCCGTCTGTACTTAAGAAGAGTAGAAACCAGAGAGAGCACAAAGACGAGAAAACACGAAAGCACGGCTACATTAGCGATCTGCTCTGCAGACTATGCACTGTCTTTGTACGAATTCGATAAGGCAACTAGCCAAGGGCATCTTGGCGTTCGACTTTGAGGCTTCCGAAAAGGATACGACGAGCAATCGGGTGGATAATGCCGTGGCGATGAAATTATCTGCAAACCCTAATAGCGCGTTTCTCGTTGAAAGGAGGAGCCCCAGGATACACAGCTAGCGGAGATTCAATAGCTAGGTAACTCTTTAAACCGATCGAGAACCACCATGGTAACAGAGGATGCGACACGGGAGCTCATCCCGTAAACCTCGCAGCTCTGAACTAAGACCGTCCCGGAAACCTCAGCGACCAGAACCCGAAGCGAACGCGCAAGTACTGCAATTTCCTACTCTGCAAAGAGAATGTTCACCTGTTCAGCCATGACTGCTGCACGACGCTGTCCTGGTTCTAGGGAAGGGGGTAAGGCAGGTGTGCCAGATAGAGGTGGAGAAAAGGAAGCAAAGACAGGGGCTTAGAGCGGATGTAGGAGACGGTTGGGACTAGGAGGAGTGAGGGGGAGGAGGAAGCGGGAGGAGGGGAAGGACGCTGAGCTGAAATCGAGGTTTGTCGCGTGCTGGAGGGAAGAGGTGGACTGAAATATACAACTGTTACGTATTGGACGCGTGCACCCTGCACAAGCTCCACCATGCTAGACGAAAGAGCGTCAAGACTATATCGAGGAACAAGAAAACTCAAAAGCACGGTGGAATACCACCGATTTGGGTTTCTCAGCTTGCTTCCCGCTTGTGGTAGCTGAGTTTCTCTTGAGGTTAATATTGTACAGAAGTCAAAGTGCTACGTCAGTGCACTAACGGATCGTCTCGTAGCGGTCGAAAATGATCTGACAGACTCCCCATCAGATACGCAAATGAACCCGAATCACGCCACGCCATCTGGTGCACAACTCAGTTACCGTATTGGCGATTCGACAATGGTTGATTTTACAGCGACGTTCCGCGACATCTGCGATTCCTCCTTCCTGTCAAAGAATCCTCAGTCGCGACACCAACCCCGATACGCACTTCGCAAGCCCCGCCCACAAGATCAACCTCTCCCCCCATTCGTTCCACCCAGCGTGTCCAACCCAGCAACCCCCAAGCGCTGCAACAGCTAGGGATATGAGACGTAAAACAGGTTCTGTGCGTTGCAACACGGTGAACTACGGTACACTGTAGCTCCTGCCACAGGTTCCGAAGATTGGGAATTGGTGTAGAGGGCGCCATTTCAGCTTACACCCAGCTTGCATATTTCAATCCGTATAACCACCATTCCTTCTCCATTTGCACATTCAAATTTCTCATTTCCACATTTACCCCACCATTTACCCACAACACCCCCTAGTTTCCCAGCTTGTATTCCGGTGGCTGCCTGGTCTCACAACCGCCTCTCCCCATGGCGGACGATGCTGCGTCGCTGCAGCAACCCCTGACGGGGAACTCCGCGGCGCCGCGAAAGAAGCGCCCATGGTCCATCGTGGATTTCCTGGTGCAGTTCCGCTGGATTCTCGTAATCTTCGTCGTGCTGCCCGTCTCCTTCGCCTTTCAGTGCAACAAGGACTTCTGGGACTGGTGGTCGAATCGCAAGAGCTTCGCGCAGCGCGAGCGCGAGCACCAGGCCGCCGTGCAGAAGCTCGTTAATCGCCTCAAATCGCGCGACCGGCGCCGCGACGGGCTGGTGTGCACGTCGCGCAAGCCATGGCTGTCCGTGTCGATGCGCAACTCCGACTACAAGCGCGCGCGGCGATTCGAGGTCGACATGAACGAGTTCTGCCAGATCCTGGCCGTTGATACCGTCAACCGCATCGCTCGCTGCGAGCCGTACGTGAGCATGGGGCAGCTGAGCGCCGTGACCGTGCCGCTGGGATACGCGTTAGAAGTGGTCCCGGAACTGGACGATCTCACCGTGGGCGGGCTGATCAACGGCTACGGCATCGAGGGCTCGTCGCACATCTACGGCCTCTTCCAGGTGCCACCCCTTTCCGCCCCTTTTTCCGCCCCTTTCCACCCCGTTCCGCCCCTCTCTCTCAGCCCTTTCTTGACCGATTTCTCCCGCCCCCCTTCCCCCACTTCAACCCCTTCCGCGACTTCCGCGCTGGTGCCCTCTGCGCCACCTTCAAAAAATTCTCACCCGACACACCTCTCTCTCCTTCCCCCCTCCCTCTTCCCCCCCGTCTCCCCCCACCCGCGTCGCTTCCAACTCCGCCCAGGACACGGTGGAGGCGTACGAGATCGTGCTGGCGGACGGCACGCTGGTGCCTTCTGAGTCAACACTTATTTCTCCTCCCCACTTCTCCCCGCCCTTTCCCCCCCACCCCGCCTCGTTTCCAACTCCCCGCAGGACACGGTGGAGGCGTACGAGATCGTGCTGGCGGACGGCACGCTGGTGCGCGCGATGCGCGACAACGAGCACGCGGATCTCTTCTACGCGATTCCGTGGTCGCAGGGCACGCTGGGGCTGCTCGTCGCGGCCGAAATCCGACTTATCCCCGTTAAAGAGTTCATGCGCGTTACGTACACGCCCGTTAGAGGCACGCTGCGCGAAATGACCCAGGCGTATATCGACTCGTTCTGCCCGCGGGACGGGGACCAGGATAATTCGGATAAGGTTCCTGATTTCGTGGAGGGGATGGTGTACACGCGGTCCGAGGGGGTCATGATGACCGGGAAGTACGCGTCGCGCGAAGAGGCGACGCGGCCCGGGAACGTGATTAACAACTGCGGGTGGTGGTGGACGCGGTGGTTCTACCAGCACGCGACGGACGCGTTGACGCGCGGCGAGTTCGTAGAATACATCCCGACGCGGCAGTACTACCACCGCCACACGCGGAGCCTGTACTGGGAGGGGAAATTAATCCTACCGTTCGGCGACCAATGGTGGTTTAGAGTGCTGCTGGGGTGGATGATGCCTCCTAAGGTGTCCTTCTTGAAACTCACGCAGGGCGAGGCGATTCGGAACTACTACCACGAGCGGCACGTGTGTCAGGACATGCTCGTGCCGCTTTACAAGGTGGCGGACGCGCTCGAACTGAACGAGCGGGAGTTCGAGGTGCGTTTGGGGTTGGGTAGGGGAGAAGCTGAGAAAGGAACAACGTGGGGGAAGGAGGGGGGAGAGAGGGGGAGAAAGTGGGAGGGGGATTGCGAAGAGGGTGTGTCAGGCCATGCTGGTGCCGCTCTACAAGGTGGCGGACGCGATTGAACGAACGGGAGTTCGAGGTGCGTTGGGGGGGATTGAGAGGAGAGGGGAGTGGTGGGAGAAGGAAGGGGGTGGCGGTCAGAGTGTGCTCGTGCTCGTGCCGCTCTATAAGGTGGCGGACGCGCTCGAACTGAACGAGCGGGAGTTGGAGGTGAGGAGTGGGGGGGATAAACGGGGAGGTAGGGGAGAAGGGGGGCTGTAGAGCGGAAGCTGGAAATGTAAAGAGGTGGAAGGAAGGAAGGGGGAGGGCTCTCCCTACCCCCCTCCCCGCCCCCCTCCCCCGCTTCCTCCTCGCCCCCCTCCGCTCCGCACCCCCAGGGGTAACCCATCTGGCTGTGCCCGCATTGCCTATTCACGCACCCCATGTGTCATCTGATCAAACCCCGAGCCAGGTTTCTCATTCACCTGCACCGTACACCCTTATTCCCCCCTCACACCCCCCCCAGTCCCTTCATGCCCCCTCTCCCCCAGGTGTATCCTATCTGGCTGTGTCCGCACCGCCTCTTCATGCACCCCATGCGTCATATGATCAACCCCGAGCCAGGCTTCTCATTCACCTGCACCAAACAATCTCACTCCAACATCCTCCTCCCCCCTCCCTGCATCCACGTTTGCCTTCCCCCCCATTCCCTTCCTCCCCCTCCCACCAGGTGTACCCCATCTGGCTGTGTCCGCACCGCCTCTTCACGCACCCGATGCGGCAGATGATCAACCCCGAGCCAGGCTTCTGGGACCACAGGCGGCAGGGCGACACAGCAGCAGCACAGATGTTCACAGACATAGGCCTGTACTATGCGCCGGGGGCTGTGATGCGAGGAGAGGAGTTTGACGGGGTGGCGGCGGTCCAGCGGATGGAGAAGTGGCTCATTGAGAACGCATCCTTCCAGGTGAGTCAGTCCAGGCGGGTCCTTCCAGGTGAGTCAGTCCAGGCGGGTCCTTCCAGGTGAGTCAGTCCAGGCGGGTCCTTCCAGGTGAGTGGGGTTTTACTGGCAGCAAGAGAAGGGACACGGTGGCAGCAGCGCAGATGTTCACGGATATCGGCCTCACTGGAGAACAAGTGGCTCACTGGAGAACATGTGGCTCACTGGAGAACAAGTGGCTCACTGGAAACAGAGTGGTGGGCCGATGTATGAGCCACTGCACGGTTCATGAGCTTATGTGTGAGTGCACATCCCCCACCCACTCCCCCTTTCTTTTCCACCACCCCCAACAGGCCCTGTACGTGGTGACAGAGCTGAACGAGCAGTACGTATGTTTGACACGTCGCTGTACGGGGCCTGTCGGGAGAAGTACGGAGCAGTGGGTTTGTTCATGAGCATGAGCGTGTCGTCCCTTCTCTCCACCCCTGCCCCCTGTATCTCCCCGCTCTCCCCCTCTTCTCCCATCAGGCCCTGTATGCGGTGACAGAGCTGAACGAGCGTGAGTTCTGGCGCATGTTCGATGCTTCATTGTACGCTGCCTGCCGGGAGAAGTACCAAGCAGTGGGCACATTCATGAGTGTGTATTACAAGTCAAAGAAGGGGCGCAAGACAGAGGCGGAGGTGATGCAGGAGGAGCGGAAGGAGAAGGAAGTTGCCATTGCCGAGTCTGCTTAGGGTGCCGTGGTTGCTGTGGCAGGGGTTCGGGGGTGGGTTGTTGGGGGTGGGGGGCGGGACGGAACGTGTGCAATGCAGTGGACACATTCATTAGCATGGCCTGCAAGTCGAAAAAGGGTGCGAGACAGTGGTGGAGGTGATGCAGGGCTAGCGCAGGGAGAAGGCAGTTCCCGTTGCTGAGGCTGTACAGGGTGCCGCACAGTAGCAACGTATGGGACTGGGGGGTAGGGGAAAGACACAGGTGGTGATGCAGGAAGAACGCAAGGAGAAGGAAGTCCCAGTTGCTGAGGCTGTATAGGGTGCAGTGGTTGCCGAGGTGGGGGGGCGGTGGGGTGGGTGATGCAAGAAGAGTGTTGGGTGGGGTGGGTGGGGGGACGCTGGGGTGGGAGGTGCAGGAAGAGTGCAGAGGAGAGAGAAACCCCAGTTCTTGATGCTGCATAGCGTGCTGCATGCTGCTGCTGAGTGATACGGCCACTGAGGGTGCTGTGGGATGGAGCAGGAGGACAAGAAAAAGGAAGGGAAAGCTCTATGCTGGAGTTTGCTATTTTGTATGGCTTATGCTAGGAGTGAAAGCAAGAGGATCTCAGAGCCTGAAGCCGCACCACGAGCTGCGGGTGGGTGTCAACTGTGTGATGTGAAGGGGAATGATGATCTGTTGGAATTATCAATGGAAAGATGGAAGTTCAGTGCACTACTGTCCTTATGCACGTGAAGTGGAGGGGCAACTGCAGCACAATACGCAGGTCAATCGGTAGATGTCTTTTGAGGCGCCTCAGAAGTAGTAAATGAAAGTCTTAAGACTCAATGGGTGGAGGAAGGCGTGATGTGACCAGTGTGCTCGAATGTGTACCTTCTTTACCAGCTTTGTATACGTGGATAGTCTCGTTCAATCTACAGTACGACGAAATGATCTAATGTCGGTTGAGAATGAGACACTCGAGCTGCGCTGAGACGATGAAGCCAGGTGGAGGGGGGTTGGTCGCAAGGCTAGGGTGGGTTGAGTTGAGGGGTTCAAGATGTGAGATGAGGTTAAGGATGGCTGGGGACGGGGCGGGGCAGGGAGCGGCGGGTGGAAGTTTGGTCATGATCCACACCACACGAGTGCCCACTTGAGGTCGCACAACAGGTACTCCGTCAGAGCACAGCGGACCAACCATAGCCAGTTAGGGGGGGTCTAACTAGAGGTTAGGCTGGGTCGAGGTGTGAGACGAGGTTCAGTATAGCGGGAGGCGGGGTGGGCAGCGGCGGGTGGAAGTTGGTCATGGTCCACACGAGCGCCCACTTGAGGTCGCACAGCAGGTACTTGAGTGCCTTGGTCCACCTCTCCTCCCGGTTGAAGCTCTGCTTCACTGTCAGCCCTTGGATCTTGTCTCCCTCGATCCTGGATGGAGGAGGGGGACAGTGGGAAGGTGAGGGGTAGGGAAAAAGGCAGAGGAGAAAGGGAGGGGGAAAAGTGGAAGGGGGGAAGTGCACTGGTGGATGAAGAAAGCATGGTCCATGGGAGGAGGGAGTGAATAATTGACTGAACCGAAAGGGGAGCATAAAAGTGTTGGTTGGTTGCTGCATAAGAAGGAGAAACTTTAGAGACTTGACACTGACTTGTAGGGCAGCTGGAAGGACTTTTCAGGCGGGAGGTGGTTGGCACGGTCGTGCGCATTGGCGAATTCGGGTTCCACCCCCACGGGCGGGTGAAGTATCTCACAAACGCAGACACACAAAGGACGTATGGACCAATCACCTGCTGGCAGCAGCTCACTTGTAGGGCCACCCACTTGTAGGGCCACCCACTTGTAGGGCCACTCACTTGTAGGGCCACTCACTTGTAGGGCCACTCACTTGTAGGGCCACCCACTTGTAGGGCCACTCACTTGTAGGGCGACCCACTTGTAGGGCCACTCACTTGTAGAGCCACTCACTTGTAGGGCCACTCACTTGTAGGGCCACTCACTTGTAGGGCCACTCACTTGTAGGGCCACTCACTTGTAGGGCAGCTGGAAGGACTTTTCAGGCGGGAGGTGGTTGGCACGGTCGTGAGCGTTGGCAAAGGCAGCGAACTCTGTGAGGGCATGCAGGAAGAGCAGCATCGCCCGGTCGTAGCGCGTGCTCCAAAACAGATTCACTGGGCCGAAGCTGGCATGGTGGGGGAAGGAGGAGGGACGGATCAGGTAGGGCGGCAGGGGTGAATTGGTGGGGAATGAGGGAGGGATACAAGAGATTATGCATGCACTTGGCCCAGGATGGATGCACGGTGAGGATGGAGGGAAGGGGCAAGAGAGGGGACGAGGGCGGAATGGAAGTGTGTGGTATACAGTGCGTATACATATTTCAATAGCAGAATGGTTGCGGTGTGCTCCAGCACAAGCAGCAGCAGCCGCCGTCGCAGCCGCCACAGCATATGGCAAATAGCGCCACCCCTGAGACGACACGTACAGCTCAAACTGGTTGTGGCCGTCGGAGATTCGCGGGAAGCTTCCAATGGGGATGATACGATGGCTGCAAGGGGCAGCAGGCGTAGGAGTACGAGGGAAGGGACAAAAGGGACAAGGTAGAAGACTTAGTTGGGTAATTAGGAGCATTTAGAATTCTCGCCAACCAGCTTGTTAGGTTGGTTAAAAGCAGTGAGGTGTCATGCGGGTGAGGGAAACGACGGGCCATACATGGACCACAAACGAGTGACAATAGAGCCGAGGCAGGGCTAGTACACAACACGTCTTGAATTGAATGCAGAGAGCTATTGCGCAAACCTTATTGATGGATAGTGACTGATGAGCAATGCGGGGATATGGGTATGTGCACAATGGGCTGATGACCATGGGCGAGAAGAGCGAAGGGCATTTGGGTGGAGAGGCCCATTACGCGACGGGGCAGTTGGCGATGCGGGCGAGAGTAAAGAGCAGATGGCACGCCTGGCCCCATGCTGCGTTCAGCTCCTCCCACTCCACCTGCGCTCCAGGCAAGTGGAGGGGAAGGGGAGAGAAAGGGGAGAAAAGAACCTGCGGAGTTGATCAGATGGGCAGAGTTGATCTGCGGCATAAGAACTTCCCACCACACTCACAAATGTACTGAAAAGGCAGTCATGGGCACGGAGGGCAGGCACACCACACTCACGGGCATGGATAGCAATCGTCCCGCACACTCACACGGACAGAGTGAAATCCCTCACCAATTTCTCATAGATTCACTCTGAAAGCACTCACGGGATCAGCAGGCAGGCGGCCAAGGCGCAGGTTGCTGATGGTGCCAAAGTCCCCGTCGTGCCAGATGTGGAATGCGTCACCACTGAGTGGACTCCGTACACACTTACAGGCACAGACAGCAGCCATCCCTCACACTCACAGGCACAGAGGCCAATCTCGCACCGCACCGCACCACACCACACCACACCACACCACACCACACCACACCACAACACACTCACGGGCACGGAGGGCAGGTGGCCGAGTCTCAGGTTGTTGATGGTGCCAAAGTCCCCGTCGTGCCAATAGCCGGACATGACCCTTGCGTGGACTCAGAACGCACTCGCACACACACACGGACAGCAGCTTTTGGTCACATTCACTGGCACAGAAAGCATTCTGGTCTAGCCCCGCAGCACACTCACGGGCACGGATGGCAGGCGGCCGAGGCGTAGGTTGTTGATTGTGCCAAAGTCCCCATCGTGCCAGATGTGGAAGGCGTCGTTCAGCACAAAGCTGCGCCTCAACGCGTCTGACTGCGCTGCTGCCGCCTCTATGCTCGCTAGAAGGCCATCACGTGCCTCCTGTGACATGACACAAGGTTGGGCGGGGAGTGTGGAAGCTAAGGGTTTTCCAGATCTGCTTTTTCACACTTGTTTTTTCACTGCTGTTCCTTTGCTTAAGCGTTTTTCAGCTACTGCAGCCCTTCGAACAATGAGTCAAGGTGCTCGCTAGAAGGCTTTTTTTGAGGCGCCTCAAAAATCCTTCGAACAATGAGTCAAGGTGCTCGCTAGAAGGCCATCACGTGCCTCCTGTGACATGACACAAGGTTGGGCGGGGAGTGTGGAAGGGGGAGGGGGAGATTTGGGTACAGGCACAGAGTAGAGTCCCCATCGTGCCAGATGTGGAAGGCATCGTCGAGCCCAAAGCTGCACCTCAGCGCGTCCGACTGCGCTGCTGCCGCCTCTATAGACGCCAGCAAACCATCCCTCGCCTCCTACGAATGAACATACAGGGAAGAGCGGGGGGAGGAGGAGGAAGGGTGGACACGGATGGAGCCACGAATGATAAGTTGAGCACCAAGCTGCGCCTCAGCGCGTCTGACCACACTGCTGCCACCGCTTCAGAGACGCCGGAAAGTTGTCCCTCGCCTCCTGAGGTGGCGCTACAGGGAAGAGGGGGAGGAGAGGGGAGGGGGACAGGGGGGTAAAACAAAGGGATGGCAACAGGCTGGACCCACCCACGTGATGGAAAGTGGTTGTTGGGAATTTTCAAGAGGGGCCAAGTCCATGATCTGACTAGTGGAGATTAGCCTAAGCATCGATTAGCGGAGGCTAGAAGGGCGAAGTCTGGTGATCTGGGTCCAATCTATTTTTTTCTGCCAAGTCCATGATCTGATTTACAGCAAGTTCAAGTGAAATCACATCTGGCTTCCATGCTTCTCCTTTACCACAGGTACCAGATTCGGATCGAGGGAAGCAGAGTTCAAACTTGGAGAGAGCGCGTCCACGCTTCAAGAGGGGCCAAGTTCGTAGTCTGAGTTACACTTGAGTGAGGAATGTGGAAGCCAGATGTGGATTCACCTGGTCTGCACCTGAAAAACTACCTGGCCTGGCGCACCTCAACATCATCTGACAGCTGCTTGACCGCCTGGGCCATCGAGCACTCTTCAGGTGCACCGCACCTGGACCACCCTACTTGGTCCACCGCACCTGGACCACCCTACCTGGTGCCCCGCACCTGGACCACCCTACCTGGTGCACGGACACTTGGTATTGAAAATCGTTGAACTCGTGCCAGTACCTGCCACAGGGAACCGAGGGACAGCAAGCAATGGCCGAGGGCTTAGCTGGGCAGCGATGTGAGTCAACTCGTCAGCCGGGACAAACGAGGACAGGGACGTGCCGCATGGGGCAAAGCTGCTGATCCCTTTCCCCACATTTCTTCCCCGCTCGTCTTCCCCACATCCATCCCTCTCCTTTACCCTCCTGTACCCCCTATCACCCTCCCCCTGCCTTAAGTTCCGCCCGCACCAAGTTGACTTCTAAGTCGACACAGCAGCATCCAGCTCCTCCTGCCTTGAGGCAAATAAAACGTCAACCCTGCCCTCGTTCCGTCCGCAACTCTCCTCAGCAGCATCCAGCTCTGCCTGCTCTGCCTCCGCCTCCCCCAGCTGCGCTCTCAGGTGTGTTTTGATCGAGCCATTTACCCCCCTACTCTGCGCACCTCTCCTCAGCAGCATCCAGCTCTGCCTGTTCCGCCTCCACCTTCCCCAGTTGCGCCCTCAGCTGCGCTTTCTGCTGCTCCAGCTCCTCCGCCTCCTGTTGCAGCCGCCGCTCCTCCTCCTCCACCTTTTGCCATGCCATGGCATGTCATGGGATGGGATGAGATGGGATGAATGGGTGGGATGGATGGGATGGGTGGGATGGGATGGGATGGGATGGGATGATGGCATGGGACACATATCCCATGGGTGGTTAATCTCAAGGCGGATGTGCTTGGCAGTGTGAAGGCAGGGTGTGCTTTACCTGGCAGTGTAACGCATGGCAAGTGCCAAGTACGAAGCATGGCAGGCAGGGAGAGCAAGAGCCGTCTCACCTCGGCCATGTGCTGCCTGAATGCGTCCTCTCCCATGGGAGCCCCAGCGGCAGTGGGCGCGAACAGAGGACTCGCACAGTTGACCGGGAAGGGGTGGTGTGCGGCGGAGGAGGGGGAGGGGGTGGAGGCAAGGATGGAGTGCAGCGCTGCTTCGTATGCTGCTATTTCCTCCTCTGCCTCCCTCACCTGCACACATGCACGCACGCATGCATGGATGGATGGATGGATGCACGGAGGCATGGAGGGAGGGATGGATGGATGGATGCACGGAGGCATGGAGGGAGGGATGGATGGATGGATGCACGGAGGCATGGAGGGAGGGATGGATGGATGGATGGATGCACGGAGGCATGGAGGGATGGATGGATGGATGGATGCACAAACAAACGCATCCACACGAGAGCATAGGAGCATCTCTACTTTGGTCCTCAGCGCCACCAGGTCAAACACTCGATCCACCGCCTCTATCTGCCCCGCCAGGCCCACCTCACTCCACCGCAACACACCGCAACCCACCCCAGTCAACCCCACTCCATCGCACCTCACCGAACCTCACCTGGGCGTCGATCTCTTGGCAGACGTGGTGGGCGCAGTGGCAGCAGAGGGGCATCTCCACCTTGGTCCTCAGCGCCACCAGGTCAAACACTCGATCCACCGCCTCTATCTGCCCCGCCAGGCCCCCCGCCCCTGCCTGCACCTCCCGTGCCCGCCTCTCACCGCCTCTCTCTTTGACTTTCCGCTGCTGCTGTTCCTGTTCTTGTTGTTCTTGCTTCTGCTGTTGCTGCTGCTGTTGTGGCTCCCATTGCTGGCTACCACTCTCTCCATCATTTCGTTCCTCCTCTCCATCACCTCCTCTCTCCGACCCTCCCATCTTACCATGCCTTCTTTCACCTCCTCCCTCCACACTCGCTCTCCTTTCCTCCTCCGCACTCCCTCTCCTTTCTTCTCCCTCACCCCCTCCTCTCCCTCTCTCCTCATCAGCAGCAGACCCCTCTGAACCGTTCCCCACCGTCACATTCTCAGGTTGCACCTGTTCCGAACCTGAGCTCTCGCCTCGGTGAGTCAGGCATTCAGCGGCAGAGGTCGGGGCGGCATCACCACCAGAAGCACCACCAGCAGCCGCAGCAGCGCCAGCTGCAGCAGAAGTGACAGCTACGGCTGCTGCAACCACTCCTTGCGAAACCAATGGAGATAGGGAAGGCGCAGAGACGCTTGGGGGAGCAGAAGCAGCAGCGGCAGCAACAGCAGCGAGTGAGGCAGGAGAGATAGCAGTAGGCGCAGGTGCGTTAGCAGCAGCGCCGGACATGGTGGGAGGCAGGGGGAAAGGGTGGGTGTGGGAGGACGGGCGGGTGTGCGAGGAGGAGGAGGAGGAGGAGGAGGAGGAGGAGGAGGAGGAGGAGGAGGAGGAGGAGGAGGAGGAGGAGGAGGAGGAGGGCGCGTAGGGGAGGGAAGAGGCGCCGTAGACAGAAGCAGCTGAGCCGGGTAGCACCACAAACGACTCGTCCAGATGGGAGGGCGGCGCTGATGGGGCGGAAAGATTGAAGCGAGAGGGAGGAGCAAAGGAGAGGTAGGTGAGAATGCAACACGTGTAAGAGGCAGAGGTGATGGGTACTACCAGAAGCAGCCGAGCCAGGTAGCACCACGAACGACTCGTCCAGATGGGAGGGCGGCGCTGATTGGCGCAGGGGAGGGGCGAAAGGAGGGGGAGCAAGGGGGAGAGGCAAAGGGGAGGGGCCAAAGGAGGGGGAGCAAGGGGGAGAGGCAAAGGGGAGGGGCCAAAGGAGGGGGAGCAAGGGGGAGAGGCAAAGGGGAGGGGCCAAAGGAGGGGGAGCAAGGGGGAGAGGCAAAGGGGAGGGGCCAAAGGAGGGGGAGCAAGGGGGAGAGGCAAAGGGGAGGGGCCAAAGGAGGGGGAGCAAGGGGGAGAGGCAAAGGGGAGGGGCCAAAGGAGGGGGAGCAAGGGGGAGAGGCAAAGGGGAGGGGCCAAAGGAGGGGGAGCAAGGGGGAGAGGCAAAGGGGAGGGGCGAAGCGGAGGGGAGGTAGGTAAGAAAGCAAGGAGGTGACGTTAGTTGGGGAACAGCAACAGCGCACAGCAACACACCAGGCGACGCTAACACTCTCAATGCCCCACATCCGGTTGAAGAGCTATCCCTCGCTGCACTCACCCCTGCCACCCGACGGCGACTGGAAGGCCGCGTGTGATTGGACGGCCACATGTCCCCCAGCGGTTGGCAGATGCGCTGCTCTGATTGGTGGCGGCTGATGCTGCTGCGGATGAACATGCGATTGAGATTGGCCCTGAGAATGAATCTCAGCCGTCGATCGTTCCTGCTGCGGATGCGGTTGGGTCTGATCCTGCAGCTGCTGCTCTTCCGGGATGGACGCTGGGTTTGATGCACCAGCTGAGCCCGCAGCAGGAGACACGGCGGCAGACGCGGCAGGAACAGCACCAGGACTCGCAGCAGTAACGGGATTGCCTATAAGGGGACGCAGAATCGACGGTCGGATTGCCCCTCCAGCGGCTACATGACGAGGAGCGTGAAAGGCGCCGTAAGGCACGCCGTGAGACGCGGAGGAATTGGGCGGCAGGACGACGAACGACTGATCCAGCATCGACGCGGAGTTCCCGGCGGCGTACGGCGCGCCGCATCGCGACGCGCCCAGCGCGTCCGCCGCTGATTGGCTGAGCGAGGACGCGCTGAAAACCAGGCTGTCGAGCCCGGTGACCTCGAGCCGCGTGCCGCACTTCTGACACAGCCACCGCGGCGACGGCGCCGTGGATGCCGCCATGTATCAATTCCAAGAATAAACTCGACCGCACGGAATCGCACTGAACCTGGTCAGAGCGCTAAAGCGGGTGGGACTAGATCAGACTGAATCGGCCTACTAGGGAGCTAAAGCGGGTGGGACTGAATCAGACTGAATCGGCCTACTAGGGAGCAGCTAGCGGGTCAGAGAGCTAAAGCCTAGGAGTTGACGAGCCCGTCGAGCGAGGCCGTCGAGACCTGACGAGTCGAGAGCGCCGTCAAGCCGGGCCGTGGAGCCGTGGGGCCGTGAAGAGCTGAAAGAGTCTAGAAGTTGACGACGCCGTCGCACCCTGAAGAGTTGAACGAGCCTAGGAGTTGACGAGGTTGACGTTGTGGACGGATGAGACACGAGGCTCCACCGGGATTGCCGATTGGGAGACAATCTAACGGACGAGTGCACCGCGCCTGCGGTGGTCGCTGAGAATGGCGCGACGCGCCGCGCGTTCTAAGAACGCTAGCATGCGTGAAAGGCTTCAAAGCTGACCTGCTTGTTGTGAGCTCAGAGCCCACTACTGGGTACTCACGACAAACAGCACACGCAAGTCAATACACTCTACTCTAGCTGCTCAATCGTCGCTACTCGGCTCGTTGTATGCGTTGCTGCTGTCAATCACTGCATTTCTGCTTGGGCATTGCTTGAGATGCTGCGATAGAATGTCGCTCGCTTCAACGACCTGGGTTGGGTCCGAATTTGCCCCCCAAAAAAATAGCTATATAAATACAGAGGAAGTGCCAGTTTTCTCTCCTACCAATAGACGATCAACTAATATACCGGCATAGACTTTCTTAGCTAAATATTATCGACATAACGAGAATTGCTAAACACGTGTACAGGCCGTTGCTGCTTTGTAGTATATTCATTGTTCCTTTACTGGGAGGCCAGTATGGGACGACGGGCGGTGCAGAGCTGCTGACGGCTGCAAATCCCGGCATTCCCGCATCTCTGGTGGCGGGTGTAGTTGGCACATTACTACTCGGATTTGTCTCCATTGGCGTTTGAGGGTTTGAGCCAACCGCAGTTGGTACGGTGGGCACAGCGAGCGGCGTTCGAGTCGCCGCATTAGGAGTATCAGGCGTATTAGGGTTTGAATTAGGAATAGGAATAGGAGTGGGAGTAGGCTTAGGAGTGGCAATAGGATGAGGAGTGGGGGTCGGAGATGTGAGGGGAGGGCTAGCAGGCACTGGTTGGGGTGTGGGAGGGGCAAGAGGAGGTGCTGCTTTGGGCACAGGGGCAGTTGTGGGGGGTGGGGAGGATGAGGGAGCAGAGGCAGGTGGGTTGGGCGACGGGGCAGGTGGGACTACAGGGATGACAGGAAGGGGTGCTGATGCTGATGCTGGCGCTACCGTGGGTGCTGGTGTTGGTGTTGGTGCTGCTGGTGCTGATGCTGATGTTGGTGTTGGTGCTGCTGGTGCTGATGCTGGTGTTGGTGTTGGTGTTGGTGTTGGTGTTGGTGTTGATGCGGGTGCAGGTGGTGTTAGGGGAGGGATGACAAGTTCTGGGTAACGGGGATGAGCAGGTGCAGAGGGGGATGGAGACGAAGGGGTAGCGACAGGAGGAAGAAGCTTGGGAAGAGGAGGTAGGGGAGGCAGCGAAACCTGTTGGGGAGGGGAAAAAAGGGAAAACGGGGAAAAAGGGGAAAAGGGGGAAAATGGGGAAAATGAGAACGAGAGGGCTGCTGGAGTGCATGAGTAGCATGAATTTTGGACTGATAGTGATGTTGATGCTGATGGCAATGCAAGGGCAGCACACTCGGATACAGACATATGAACTGCCGGGTTGAGTGGTGAGAGAGTGTGCTATGGGGTGTGCCCAAGGGGTGAAAGAGTGTGCTATAAATTGTGCCCTAGGGGTGAGAGAGTGTACTAAAAAATGTGACCAAAGAGTTCAGAGTAAGAGGTACTGGGTCTCACAGGCAGTGACGGCGTGGGGGAGGGTAGAGGCCTCTGTGGTTGCTGTGGGTGGGCATGGAGACGTAATGGGGGGGATGGACATGGGTTAGATGGACATGGTCATGGGCATGGGCACAAACACGGGCGTGGTATTAGGCGTAAGCTGCAGGCGAGAAGCAAACGGCCGAGGTGGAAGCATGTACGGGTGTTAAGGTGGAAGCATGTACGGGTGTTAAGGTGGAAGCATGTACGGGTGTTAAGGTGGAAGCATGTACGGGTGTTAAGGTGGAAGCATGTATGGGTGTTAAGGTGGAAGCATGTACGGGTGTTAAGGTGGAAGCATGTATGGGTGTTAAGGTGGAAGCATGTACGGGTGTTAAGGGGCGACAAAGCTGAGGCGGATGGCACAGTGGCTTCTTTGAGTCGACTCAAAAGCATGCATGCATGGGCACGGCACTCACAAAAGCAGAGGGCAATTTAGCCGGGTTTGACGGCACGGTGTCAGAGGCTGGTTGCTTTTCCACTGGATTGGCTATCGTAGGCCCTCTCCTCCCACCCGTCACGTTGCCCTCTTTCACATTGCCATGTGTCACATTCCCAGTTATCACATTCCCATGTGTCACATCCCCATTCGTCCCATTGCCAGTGCTGCCACCACCACCACCATCACCGCCACCACTACCACCGCTGCTACCGCTGCCGCTGCCGCTGCCGCTGCCGCTGCCGCTGCCACTGCCGCTGCCACCACTGGTCCCACTGCTTCCATTCCCCCTGTCCGCCCCACCCCCTCTGCTCCTTCCCCCAGGCTCATACGGGTGCTCAGGGTCTCGGCCCTTCATCCTCTTGATCCCCGAACCTGACGACCCATCTGCGTCGGATGGACTCGGCTCAGGTTCGGATGGACTGTCTCTTGGCTCGGAAGAACCTCCCGCAGGCTTTAAAAGGCCAGGCTCGGGATCAGAATGGCTCGGGTCAGGCTCGGATGTGTTTTGTCCAGGCTTGAACGACTTGGGACTGGGCTCCGCAGCAGGTTCGGACGGGTGGTTTGCAGGTTTAGACCCAGTGTTTGGGCTTTTACTGGAGTTACCCGTTTTGTTAGGAGGAGGCTCAGAGGCAGGCAGAGGAAGGTCAGCTGCTGGTGGCTCCTTTGACGGGACGTGCTTATAGGGGGCCTGCTTATAAGGAGACTGCTTCTTTGCATGGGACTTGTGAGGGGAACGGCTTTTGGAAGCAGAGGGGTTGGCAGGGAGCTTGGCAGGAGTGTCGGAAGTGTGGTTGGGTGTGGAGGCGGCGGGGAGCTTGGATGGGGAAGGAGAGGGAAGGGAGGGAGCAGCAGGGGATGGGAGGGAGGGCGCAGCTGGGGGGGGCTTGACTGGGGATGATTGCTGGGGAGGGGCTTTGGAGGGGGAAGCTTTGGATGGGGGCGCCTTGGAGGGCGGGGCTTTGGTGGGGGGTGCTTTGGCGGAAGTGTTTTTGGCAGAAGTGTCTTTGGAAGGAGGAGACTTGGAAGGAGGAGACTTGGAGGGAGGGGATTTGGAGGGAGAAGCTTTGGTGGGTGGTGACTTTGATTTTGTTGAGTTGGCGGACGGTGCCTTATCCTTTGGTGGTTGCTGCGACGGCTGCTTGCGAGGGGATGAGTCGGAGGGCTGTGGCGAGGTGGTGGGGGGCGACTTGAGAGGCGGAGGCGAGGGCTTGGAGGGAGGAACGCCGGAGATGGGAGGGGTGGAGGGCGTGCGGACTGGGGACGTGGTTATGACAGGGCTGGCTGATGCTTCTCTGTGGGGATGGGGTGGGACGGGATGGGGTGGGACGGGATGGGGTGGGACGGGATGGGGTGGGATGGGATGGGACGGGATGGGATGGGATGGGATGGGATGGGATGGGATGGGGTGGGATGGGATGGGTTGCGATGGGGTGAGATGGGGTGGTATGGGTTGGGATGGGATGGGAGGAAAACGAAGGCAGGGAGAGGGGGAAGAGAGAAGGCACTAAAAGAGTTTGAGTGAAGAGCGGAGCCTAAACACAGCTAGAGCACTGCCAATCTCCATTAAATTCCCGTGCCTCTACTTTTGGGACGTCTCAAAACTAAACAGAGCTGGAGGACTGCGAATCTCCATTCAATCCCCGTGCTTCCCCTTCACCCACACACCCATCCTTTGCAGTTCCCTAGCACCCCACAGCACCGCACCCCAATCTCACTTAAACAGGGCCTTGACTTGTGGTGTGAAACACCCAGACCATGCCTTGACCATGCCACGCACCCACGCCAGCATGCCACGGACCCACCTCACTCATACAACCACCCTTCGCAACTCCCCGGTACCCCAGCAACACCGCCCCCCGTCTCACTTGAGCATGGTCTTGACCTGCGGGGAGAAGCACCCCGACCATGCCTTGTAGCCCGCTGCTGACAGATGCAGGTAGCGGAAGGAGTCCTGTTGGGATGGGGAAAGGGCACGCACGCAGTGCAGTTGGTGGGAGGAGCGAGAACGTGGAGCAGCGTTCTGAGGGACTCGAGAGGGGCAGATGGGAAGGCCATGCCTTGTAGGCCGCTGCTGACAGGTCCAGGTAGCGGAAGGAGTCCTGTGGGGGACACGCAGAGCAGTAGGGAGGACGGGTGAGGGTGGGGGCCAGAGGGGTGGGTGGTGGAAGACAGATGAGTAAGGGGGTCCAGGGGGACACCAACAAGGGCACAAGAATCCGGGCAATGCGTACAGGGGGGACTAGCGGGCGCGGGAAAGAGAGACAGCGACACACACATGAGTTGCTGGCAAGTCAACTCACAGGCGCGTAGGCCGCTCTGCATTGACGGAACCCCCGGGGTTGGCGAAGGCAGATGAGCAGTCGAGGAATGCTTTTGAGTCGACTCAAAAGCAGCACAGCAAGACGAACTTAAGCTCACTACTCGTGGCAACTCACAGGCGCGTAGGCGGGTGCATTGATGAAACCTCCTGGGTTGGTGAAGGCAGATGAGCAGTCGAGGAACGACACCCCGTCCACTGCAGGGGAGCAGTGATTTAACGAGGTGGGAACAGGAGGGAGAGGAGGGGAGGAGGGGAGGAAGGGAGGAGGGAGTGAGAAGAGAGGGATAGGCAGGGGATACTGTACTGCTGACCATGCTCTGAAGCAACGCGAGTTTCCTGCCTGTCCCACGCAATTCAAAGGGCTTGCAGCGAGCCTATTGGCAATGCTGCCAGCCACGAATCAGCAAGTGCCACGTCATACCCAGGTCGTACCTGATTGGAGAGCCGAGGCGAGGATGACGTTCACTTGGGCTGGCACAGGGTCAGGCAGTGACGCGTTCTTGCTCGTGGCCGCCTGAAACGGTGGGTCAGGAGAAACAACAGAGGTGCGAGGATTGGCCAGGGTTCATAAACACCATAGAAATGGACTCATGTGTGCTCATGATACGATGGCTAACAAAAGGTCACAGGGAAACGCAGCAACTGCGTAACTTTGCTCATGATCAATGCGCAGAGCCACCAGTGCACGGTGCTCTCACCTCGGGCAGCAGCCTTTTGAGGCGCCTCGAAAGCTCTCACCTCGGGCAGCAGTCCCAGCACGAGCACGGAGGTGGAGGGGTGTGCCTTGCGCACACTGATCGCCAGCGATGCAACCTGGGCGCGGGGAGGGACGGTCGCGGAGGGAGACACGGAGAGGGGGAGTTTTGACACGGAGCAGGAGGGATGGAGGGGGAGGGATGCACGGGGAGGGATGGAGGTGGGGAGATGCACGGTTAGAGATGCACGGTTAGAGATGCACGGTTAGAGATGCACGGTTAGAGATGCACGGTTAGAGATGCACGGTTAGAGATGCACGGTTAGAGATGCACGGTTAGAGATGCAGGGGGAGGGAAGGAAACGACGGGCGAGGCAGGAATGTGAAGGGAGATGGAGGAGACGTGTGGTTGCGAAGACGTGTGGTTGCAAAGACGTGTGGTTGCAAAGACGTGTGGTTGCAAAGACGTGTGGTTGCAAAGACATGTCATTGCAAAGACGTGTGGTTGCAAAGACGTGTGGTTGCAAAGACATGTGGTTGCAAAGACGTGTGGTTGCAAAGACGTGTGGTTGCAAAGACGTGTGGTTGCGAAGACGTGTGGTTGCACGCCTACCTTGCTGGCCGTGGTACTGGCGCTGGTCTTCCCCTGTAGCACGTCGTTGATGCCCGCACACACCACCGCCACTCGCAGCTGCAGCGATGCGGGGAACTCGCCGCCCTGCATGTGCAAGGGGCGGAGGAGAAGAAGACTTGGAAGCATGAGACTGAGAGGTGATAGCAGTGCAAGGTTGTGTTGAGACAGGAATGGGTTTCGTCAAGAGAAGCACACGGGCATATCCGGCCGTATTGACACATTTACAGATTCACACAACCGTACACACGAGCACACACACTCAAACGGCCCCACCGCACCTCAGTTCTCCTCCACGCGTCATTCACAGCGTCGCTCCGCAGGTTTTCGAGTCGTCTCAGCAATTGCCTCTCTGTCGCTCTCTCACTCACTCACACACACACATACATACGCACGCACACGGCGCTCAGCTCAGCGCACCTCGATTCTCTCGCGCACGTCGTCCACAGTGTCGCCTGCGATGCCGAACGCCTGCACGGACGTCGCACCCACCGCCGCCTTCACCGACTCGAACACGCCCCTGGCAATGACAAGCGGGTGCGAGGATGAGAGGATGCGAGGATGCGAGGATGCGAGGATGAGAGGATGCGAGGATGAAAGGATGCGAGGATGCGAGGATGAAAGGATGCGAGGATGCGAGGATGAAAGGATGCGAGGATGAAAGGATGCGAGGATGCGAGGATGAAAGGATGCGAGGATGAAAGGATGCGAGGATGAAAGGATGCGAGGATGCGAGGATGAGAAGATGGGAGGATGCGAGGATGAGAGGATGCGAGGATGCGAAAATAAGAGCCAAAATCGACGACCACACGCTGCAACGATCTGCGACATGCGACAAAGTCGACGACTATCCAGGGGCTGTGCGACAGCGACCGGGCGACAGGGGCACTAACCTCACGCCCGCGTAGAGACCAGTCGACGCTCCCTTGAACGTGCCGAGCCAGCCCTGCAGTAGACCGTGGAAGCAACGGATTCGGGTGATACGAAGAGTGGCGAAAAGCCGGCGAATGTTGTTGGATTTCGGGGATAGGAGATTCGGAACAACTGAACGGCCAAGACAAGGCATGCCGTGAGTGACTGAGCACGTTAGCACGACTTTCCGACCTTTATTTTTGACGCATGATATCCACTCTCGACCCCAAGGCTACAAGACCTCGTCCTCCAATGAAGACAAGTCACGAGACTCGTGACTACAAGGCTTGGTTTGTCAGTGGCTCATGATTCGACTGGCAAGTCGCGATCGGCAGTGCCTCAATTAGCACGACGGATATCCACTCTCGTCTCGTCCCCATGGTTACAATACATGGTCCTCCAATGAAGCCGAGTCGCGATCATCGGCGCCTCGGTTTCGACGCGCGATATGGTGCGTACCTCAGTGAGAGAATCGCCGTAGAAGATGACATCAGCTGACGGCAGCAGATCGGCGGTTCTGGCGTACTTGTTGTGCAGCGCGGTCCACGTGGTGTCGTGCGGCTTCACTGCTGAAGCTTTCGTCGTCGACGCTGCAGGGAGCACGACAGGCGACTCATCAGACGACTGTTCTGACGACTGTTCTAACGACTGTTCTACCTGTTCTGGCAACTGTTCTGCCAGCTGCCCTGATGACTGTTCTAGCCACTGTTTTGTCGTCTGCCCTAGCGAATGTTTTGACGACTGTCTTCGCGACACTTCTGGCGACTGTCGTAATGACTGATCGGTCGCCAGTACAACAGAGGACTGCACAGACGATAGCTGAGTCGACGACGCCGCGGGCTCCGCGCCTAGAGCCTGGCCCAGCAGCACGCGCTGCGCTGCCGCGGAGGTCGGCGTCGCACTGAAGAATGAGGAGGGGATGGAGCCGCCTAGGGGGTTACTGACTAGGTCGAGCAGTCTTCGAATGCGTCGCTTAGGAGAAACATGAATCGACTCTGCTGTTGCGAGACTGAGAGTGAGTGAGGAGATTGTGAGGGAGAGCGATATGCTGAACACGATAAGCGGCGTGGAGACGAAGCGCGGCTGCAATTGTCGGCCCATGGTGCCGCGACGCGTTGGCTCGTGGACCATCCGGTGCTCCGTCCTGCTATTGATCTAACTTATTGATGCTTCGACAACGATATCGAGGGCATAATGGATGTTGTATGGGGGTCGACTTTATGATACCGGCGCAGACGGCATGCTACTAGAAGCAATGTCGGCTTGTTCATCGGACAGAGTAGATAGCATCTGTCAGGAGCGAATCTTGGACTTTGCTTAGCTTTCTCGTAAATTGGGACGAGAACGGTAGGTCAAGTCAGAAAACTCTGCTGATCAGGCGGAATTGGCTAAGGGACAAGGTAAGGTCAACGCTAGTCTTGCTGCTGGCAATTCTCCGAGAGAAGTACAACGCTAGTACCTTATGCCGCTCGGCCAAGGTTTAAGCCTCCATTACTCGAGAACAAGACTGATAAGTAAAGCCGATAGCGCAATGTCACCGAACGCTTGCGACGCTGACGAAATTATTATCCACGGCGCAGGAGCGAGGAAAAGAATCGGTGCCAGGTTACCTGAATAGCCTGTTTTGAATTCCAATGGGATCTCATCACTATCACGTCGCGTCTCGACTGCTGCTGCTTTTCCTGTGCAATTCCTCGCTGGGCTCTGGTAGTGGCCTTGAGAATGTCGATAGCATGAGATGTGCGGGCGGGTGGGGGCGGAACACCACGCGACTCGCTCGGAATGCCAGCAGCACTTGTTGCGTGGAAGTTGGTGGTGGGTGGGGGGAGAGGTGAGCTGCGCGGGAAACGGCAGCGCACATGCATGTGGCGCTGCTGCTGAAAAACCTGTCAGTCGCTTCATACGCGCTGTAAGAAAATTTGAACGTGGTACACTTCTAGTTCCCGCATTCAGCACCAGCTTTACAAGTATTGCGTGATGAATCTTCCCGTACATCCTCGATAGAACCCGTTTAAAGACATCTCTCGTGCGTCCTTTTTTCTACACTAGCACATACCATGCCAACAAAACTGGCCGATTTGGCCTGTTCCGCGCCAAAGCTGCACTCGTCTTGTCTCCCATGCAGATCCCTAGTGACCATCACCCAAATCTTTTCATGGCTCTTCTTCCGCGGAAACTTGGGATGTTATCAACAGCATAGACAGGACGGTCGCAGCAGTAGGGAAGTCGTGACTCGGTAGAGGAGCACCTCATACGACCACGATGCTCACTCCAAACGTCAGACCGTCGCGTCGCTGCCTATCCCCCTCCTCCGCCATCGCATTTCTGATCCGTTCACTGCCCGCCTTCCTCCTTACCCTTATCATTGTCCCCAGCATTCCAAACATTCGCTCATCAACTCATCCCGCTATTTCAAGACATCTCCCGTTAGCCTTAGTCCAGGCTCGCAATGTGCACAGCGGCGTCGATCAAGACGGCAAATCTGATATACAATTCCATCATTCAGACAGACACGCATCCCACGTGGACCCATCCGTGCCGTCCGTTTACAAGGAGGGCGACGAGGTGGTCTTCCAGTGCCGCCACTCGCCGTCCGATCCCTGGGGTCCAGGACCCCTGTGCTTCGAATCCGGCCGTCCATTGTCCGTCTTCGTTGGCGTCAACATCTACCGTTACTGCAGCCTCGAGGTGCGAACTCCGTCAGAGTACGAACGGTTAGCGCAGCTGGTGCAGCAGGAGCTGACGTGGCACTGCCGCGTGGCAGCGGATCCTAGGAACCAATCGTACGTGCCGCTTACCTTCCTCCTCATGGGCTCCTATCACAAGCTCAAAGACAGAAGCAGCAACAGCGGCACCACCACCATCAGCAGCAGCAGCACCAGTAATATCAGCGACAGCAGCAGGAGCAGCAAATCTGGGGCGACTGCAGGAGCTCTCGGCACAGCGAGCTCAGTAAAGGACATACTCAGAGTGAACAACCGCGTAAACCTTGTCTTCCACGCACACAAAAACCGGATCATCGGAGCTGCTGTGTACCCAGTAGCAGACCACATGCAGCTGGTGAAGCAGGGCGGCTTAGTGGGCCTGCATGGCTCCGTGGTGTGGTTTCACCATCACAGCTTTCAGACGGAGTCCAGTGTGGGGCTGAGGAGAGGAGGGGAAAGTGACTGGTGGTCGGTTGCAGGAGGGGAGGGTAGCTGGTCCAGAGAGGTGGGGGTCGCCATGGCTAGTGGCTTCCTCTGCTCGCTCTTCACGCTTGTTATTGCGGTTGTGGTGTATCAAGGGCAGCTGAAGCCAGCTATTATCAGGAAATGCTTGAAAAAGGAGTGACTGTTAGAGGTGATGGACTGCTGTCAAGCTCTAATGTACACTCCCATTTTTACAGCCGCTAGGTGTTGACGCCAATGCTGCTCAGACTGGTTCAACCCCGAAAAAGGCTGTCAGTCATCAAACTGCTAGCAACTCAATCGGTCAAGGCGCTACTAGCACAGCATGTGCCCCAAAAGAGAACCATCAAGTCTCTACTTCCACACAGCTGGTGGCAGAGACACCTTCCTGTTATTATTATATCAGAGTCACTGTTTGGACTAGGCATGCCATAAATAATTGGATGGGCAAAAGCAGAAAGCAGCAAGAAAAGGATCAAGTAACAGTTTCACACAGCCCAACCAGCCAGCTGCTTGCCATCAAATGGGCAGCTTCTTCTTGAGGAGATTGAGAAAGCTTGCTTTCTTATTCTTAGGTATCAATTGCTTTCTCATCATTTTTGAAAGCTCGTCGGCGTGTGAGTTGAGCTCGCGCGGAATTTATTCGATGATCAAGCGCGTGCCGAGCCTGTCAGAATCCCAACCACTAGACCATTGGGATAAAAGGGCTTGTTAAGTAGCGGGTCAGTGCGCCCATAACCCCCCAGGACAACGAGCCTATAACCCTTCCCTAGGATCAATCGGGGATCACCAGTGGACCTCTGACACCCCCCCGCACTGGGATGCCCGAAGTGCACACACTGGGATTCGAACCCGAGACCTTCGCTCTGATACCATGTCAGAATCCCAACCACTATACCATTGGGATAAAAGGGCTTGTTAAGTAGCGGGTCAGTGCGCCCATAACCCCTCAGGACAACGAGCCTGTAACCCTTCCCTAAGATCGATCGGGGATCACCAGTGGACCTCTGACAGAGCCCCATGCATGTACGGATGATGCTCTTGCAGACCGTTGTGAGGTCGGGGCTGCGAGAGCCTCATTTGCGAAGGATGAAGAATACGCCCTGGTTGTCCACAAGCACGAGAACGTGTTTCTGTTTGATCTTGTTGGCGTAGGTTTGGAGCGCCCAAATGACGCCTTCCCTCTCCCACCGCGTGCTAAACGTTGCTTGTAGCGGCTCTAACATGGTTGTGTTGTGCTAGCTTCTTCAAGGCCACCAGGGAATGAACTCCAACCCACGGTTTTTGTAGTTGGAGAAGGGCGTTTAGCGCGCTTCGACGATGCCAATTGTGCAGTACAAGCGATTTCGCTTTCACAATACACAATTTTGAAACACACTATGTGTGTTTACAAATTATAATAATGCGAGCAAAAGCTGTGGAGAAACTTAGGGCTGGTGGGCTGGGTAGTGGAGGGATGGTCAATGCGAGGAGAGCTTGAGAGCATACAGTAGCATTCTGCCATCCTCCAGCCCCACAAGGATGGCGTCCTCATCAGTTGTTGTGATTGATGCAGCAGGCGACTCCACCCCATCAAACAGCAGCAACGGCTCCAGTGTATGCATGGATCTCACCACTACCATTCCAGCTTCTGACCCCCCCCCTCCCCGACCACTGGCACCCACCCCCCTTCCGCCACCCGCTCCTCCAGTGTCCCACCCTGCGCTGCATGCCGTAACAAGGAACTCTCCACAACGAGACAAGGTAAGATGCGTGATTGGTTCGTCCACTAGTGCATGTTCCAGCCACCCCCCATTGATGGAGCACACATGAAGCATGCGGGCGGCATCAGAGTAGACTGCGACGCGAGCGAGAGGCGCAGAAAGGGCAATGCGCAGCGCCTCATTTGCACAGTCGTTGGGGTGTTGCAGCGACCGGAGGAACCGGGCGGCACGGAGAGTGGAAAAGACGAGGGAGCCGTCCAGGGAGGCGGAAAGAATCAAATCTAGCTCGGAGGAGGCGATGACAGCTGTGACGGCATCGTCGTGGGAGCAGAGCACTGCGCGGGGCTTGGAGGAGATGAAGGGGTCGCCTTGAGCATGTGTGTGCGCTCCCAGGTGGTCTATGCGCCAGATCATGACTGTTGTGTCGCGGCTGCCTGTGGCCAACCAGTTACCGTCGTTGGACACTGGGTAAGGACAGCATACATGGGTGTAGGAAAAGGGAGAAGGGGCGGTGGGGAGAGTGGGGTGGGAAAGGATGGGGATATTTGAATGGATTGCCGGTGGATGGGAGATGAGGGATGCTAATGAAGGTGTGTAAATTGGTGTCTCATGTTGTAACTGTCTCCTGTCACTCCTGTCAGTGTGTTCAACAGTCTGCAACAACTGAGCAGATAACAACCACGTGATATCAACAGTCTGCAACAACTGAGCAGATAACAACCACGTGATATCAACAGTCTGGTGAAAGCAACAGAAGCACACCTGAAAGGCAGGTGACGAGGTCACTGTGCTGCTGCAGCGCCTGAACAGTGGCAGCATCGTCTACCGACGTGCTGCGAATGGCATTGTCCCAGTGGCCCCCGGAGAAGAGGAATGGTGAGGTGGCTCCTGGTACGATTCCGAAGCAGTCGCCGTAGCTGCTAGCTCCGGGAGCAGAGAGAGGCGCTCCAATCCTGCACACTCGGCTTGGGTCGCCCACGCTGATGCTATAGTCCTGTTGGTTTGTGAGGACGGGAGGGTGGACGGTTGGGGGGTGAGAGGGTGAGGGCAAGGCTCTTGAGTGAATTCAGTTTTGCATAGAGGCAAAAAGGAGGGATATAGGAAGGATCAGGTGCGAATGGAGGGAGGTCACTCCCGAACTTCAAATTTTCCCCACAGCGGTGAAACTGCATCCATCACATGGAATCCATTCAGCAATCACCCAGACACCCAACCAGAGCCCAGCATTCATTCACCCATCACCACACTCACCATGCCCACTTTCACGCCCTTCTTTGGAGCATTCCACGAGCGCACTGTCAGCACCTGCCCCCTCGTCACACTCACTACCGTGCGCCCCATCACCCCCATAAACACCACAGCCATATCATCCTCCGACCTCCCCTTGCCCCCCCTCGTCCTCCCCGCAGGACCCCCCACGCCCCCAGCAAAAGCAGGAACCACAGTGGAGGAAACAGCCGGGGTGGGGGGAGCTGGGATGATGGCGGAGAGGGAGATGGAGGAGGGGAAGAAGCGAAGTGGGCGGGTGATTTGGACGTGCGGGCCGCGCTCCTGGTGGGGGCGTGTGAAGAGCTGGATGGGAGTCTGGCCGAAAGCGGCGATCTGTTGTTCGAAGGCTGTGCGCCTTGTCTGGTCGGTGATTGCATCAATGTCCACAGCGCCTTCGTAGGTGAGGTAGTAGAATACGTTGTCCGCCTGGAGGAACCAAGGACGGTAAGACAGGCAGAGGAGAAACAGGAGGAGAGCTGAATGGGAGATTGGTTTACCGGTAGAACCAAGTGCTCAGGAGCGCCCTCATGGGTGAGGTAGTAGAACAGGTTGGGCGGCTTGAGGGAGAAGCCGAGGGGGGCAGTGGGGCAGAGGAAAAGCAGGAGGAGAGCGGAACAGGAGCTTGGCTTATAAGAGCGAAATAAAAAACGCCCTTGTAGGAGAGGTGCCAAACGAGAAGACGGTATCACCAGATGAAGTTATGAGGAGGGGGTCATGGGTGGGTGGGGACTTTTATGTGTAATGTCATCTAGCTCTTTGCTTCCAAGGAGGCCTTTTACTAAGGCACTCATGCAAGTGCGGGTACGTACCTCATAACCCAGGCACACCCCTTCACAGAATCACCACTAAACTTTCTTCGTACTTCCATAATAGCATCTCATTCGAGGGCTTTCTCGCATGACGGGATGGTCCTGAGTCACGCACAGGCCCACACGCCCACATGCCCACATGCCCACCTGCCTAAATGCCCACATGTCCACGTGCCCACACGGCTACATGTCCAGACGCCCACACCAGATGCCCATATGGCCACATGCCCAGGCGCCCACACCACTTTCGCACATGCCCACCTGAACAGCCGCCTCCCCCCGTTGCTTGTAGCCAAACACAAGGTCGATCCAGTGGTGCAGCCTCTCGCTCACGTGCTCGCTCTCCAGGGCCTCCCGCTGCAGGCGCACAAACTCCTCTGGAGAGCCCTGGGGATCACAAGCAGGCAGGGTTACAGGGAACAAGGATACAGCTGGGTTCATTCGCTCACTCTCCAAGGCCTCTCACTGAAGGCGCAGAAACTCCTCTGGGGAGCCCTGGATACCACAAGCAGGTAGGGTCAGAGGCAACAAGGGCACAGCTGGGCTCACTAGGTCGCACTACGGGGTCTCTCGCTGAAAATGCACAAACTCCTCCTGGGAGCCCTTTAGCAAGCAAGCGAGCAGGGTGAGAGGCAAGAAGAGGGGTTGGTACAGCTGGGTCAGGTGCATACAACATGGCTCACATGGTGGCTCCCAAGGGCCTCCTACTACACTCGCACAAACAGATCAAGGAATCCTGCAGCATGCAGGGTAAAGGGCTAGCCTGAATGGATAGAAATACACTTCTTAACTGACATGGACTTTCAAGAACCTTCTGCTGCACTCGCGCATGCGCCTTGGAGGGTTAACGTGGCAAGTGAGCCGGATCACAGGGAGGAGGGGAATACAGCTAGTCTCACACCAAACAGCCTTGCTCCCACTATTGCTTCAGCAGTGCACAAGGTGGGTTAGAGGCTGCTGAGGTCACCTAAGAGAGATGACTGTTGCACCGACTAAAAAACCTTAACAGCAACGCTCAGACAAGAGCCGCACACACCTTGGCCCAGGGAGGCAGGATGACACTGTCAAGCGCCTGCCCGTCCTGCCTGAGGCCCAGGTCGAAGCAGCAGTTGTTGCGCAGAAACTCTGGCTGGTAGAAGAACTCCGGCAGCAGCTCCTTCACATCGCTCGTGTTGCTCTGACAGTTGTCCCACGCCGACGCCACGCTGTCAAACAGACGATCCGCCTGGTCAAAGCGCCCCCCCTGTTGGGAGAGAAGGCAGGCAGGGATAACGAAGTCAGCAATAGCTCGCGTTTCAGTTGTTGGCCCTCGTCGAAACAACACTGCTCTGCAAACGGATCTTGGCTTGGATTTATCCAGAATCGTTTTCGAAGAATGGTGAGGGAACATGAAGGAGAGCTTGGAGGGGCAGTGGTGTGTGCAACAGGACTCACATGTCAAAGTGAACAATCCTGAGGTAAGAAGTGGGAGCACGGTCTGGTCACACCTGCAGCAGCCGGTGGAGCGTGGCAAAAGGCTCCATGCGGATGAGGAAGTAGAGCACGACGCCAGCAGAGGAGTAATGCGATCCGTACAGGAAGCTGGCCGAGGGATGAGGCGGGGAGTGAGGGATGATGCATGAGGGATTGGGAAGGAAGAAGAGGGTTGAGAGGCGATGGTCGGGGGAGCAGGGTGTGATGCGAGCCACAGGATACAGTGCATGGTCGCTGAAAAGCAGTGTCGATATCAGGAACAGAATCCATTCATATGGAGGCGTTGACAGTAGGGTAGGGTTGAATGTTGGCCCCAAACAATGAGAACAACAAGAGCAAGAAAGAGTGACGAAAGCATGCAGTGAGAAAATGCGAGCGACACATGCGCTGGTCGTACCCTGGAATGTCCGTATCCATGCTGTCATATCGCTCCTTGAACAGCTGCAGCAGGTGAGTGGAAGCAAAAAGCAGCAGATGTAGGGAAGAATGGACAGAGATAGTCGGAGGATGAAACCCGCCCTCGTCAAGAGGGCGCGGGCATAGAAACAAGAGAACACATGAAGCAATTTGGAACCTTGCCTCAAGCCATACCTCCAGCCCCCTGCCACAACTCCCACCCAGGCTTACCGATTGACACATACCTCTAGTCTCTTGGGGTTCAGTGCCCCAACCGGCTTGCTCAAATCTCGGAACGTCTCTCCATTCGACAAGTCCAGCTTGGCCGAGGTATGATCCGCAATAACCCACGGGAAAACAGGGTACTGCATCAGATCGTTGTATGTGCGCCCGGCCAGGGTGTTAAGGATCATGAGGTAATCAAAGGTGGAGATTTTCCGCTTGCTCCATTGGGACCTCGCCTTCTCTGCCAGCTCCTGCCCTCTCTTCCTGTCCACAAAGTCAACCAGCTTGCTGCTGCGAGCTGTGGTCCTGCGGTTGGCGATAGCCAGAATACGGTGGGCGACCTTATCAGCTAGCTGAGGCGAGGAGAAGGAGAAGAAGGCAGGGGGCTGCGACGAGGAAAAATCAAGCTCGAAGGCGGATGGGCGGAGGAGGTAGCGTGTCATGCGGATGCGAGCGAGTTCAGAGAGCGACCACATTCGGTGCATCTTCACGTCATCCAGAATATCCGTGTGCTTGCGCATCCTCACTGTCACCTTCTCCAGAGTCTTCTCGTTTGGCTGGAACCTAGCTACAAACAACAGTTTCTGTATCACACGCTTCCATCGTTCCTTAGGAGGGATTTTCTCTCCGCCGGAAACGGAGCCAGAGGATGAAACGGAGTGGGGGTTGTGGAGGGAGCCGTCGGGGTGGAAAAGCAGGAAATCTTCGGTGCTGTCCATGGCAAAGTCCACGTAGAAATGCAGCTCTGTGTGGGAGATGTGCAGACGGCCCGCCAGCTTGCGCTTGGTGGTCAGGAGGATGCAGGGGATCTCTTCCAAAACCTGCGACACCAGGGGAGGAAAAGTATATAAGAAGTTTCTATGTTGGGTAAGGGGCCACAAGATTGGGTGGCATGAAGGAGAAGAAAGGGGGTGGAGGGGAAGGAGGGTGATCAGGCCAGTGCTGAGAAAGGATGAGCCAGCAGCAAGATGCAGCTGCTGAAAAAAAACAAAAAATGATGTGAAGATGGGGTAAAGGACCAAACCTCCCTCAATCACAGGTCGACACTTACAAATTTGTTCCCACAAATTCACTCACCCCTGGCATGCCTTCCGCCGGACCTGCCACACCTGCACTTGCCACACCTGTCCCTTCCAACCCCCCTTCCTGCACGCCCTTCTTCCCTCCCTGCCCTGACTGGCTCTGCTCGTTGCTCTGCTGCAGCAGCGCCATCTCCTCCATCAAGTCGCGGTCCACGTTCACACTCGACACTACCCTCCCGTGCTGCTGCAGATCCCCTCCCACTGATCCTGCTCGTGCCATTCCATCCCCCATGCCAAAGCTGCTCCCGCCAATAGAAGCCGAAGCATCTCCCGCCACTGAACTACCAGCATCACTCGTGTACCTGCGGAAGCTCCTGGCATCCGGTCCTGACCTATCCAACCAACTCCCCTCTGACGTCCCGTCTGCCCCCTTACCTTCCTCACCTCCACCACCCTTCTCTTTCCCTCCCCCACCCAAGTTCCGCTCCTCTCCTTTACCAATGCAAAAGTTTTCATCAAACCGGTAGTTTGGACGCATGCGGAATCGACGCCTCCGAGGGTCCTCTGCCTTATCCAGCTTCCAGCGGGGTGGAGGGTCGTCAGGCGACGGGCCAGAGTACCAGGGGCCCCTTTCGCTGGTCATCTGCCTGTACAGGGTGTTCCACACTGCCTTGGCGTTCTGCAGCTGCTCAGCATACGCAAGAGTCGCAACCGCTCGTCGCTTTGCTTCCTGCTCCATCATCCCGCCGAGCGCGCTTCGCCGCTGCTGCTCCACCTCCTGCCGCCGCTCCTGCTGAGCCTCCTCCCATGCTTCTATGTCTGGCTGGATGTCCACCAGGCTGTCATTGAGGGAGGTCACGATGAACATGACGTGGTCGCACTCAGTGCGCGCCTGGGGAAACGCACAGTGGAAAGGCGCAAGGGGTGAAGACGTGGCTGAGACATCTCTACGAAAGATGAGCGCCATGTAGCTGACTCGCTGCGTGTATGAGGAGAAAAGGAAGAGCAGGGAGGGAATGTGCTACTTGTTTATCAGACTGTACAACGAAACACAGTACTGGAAAAGGAGAAAGATTAGTTGGATAACATGGAGGGTTGATAATGACTCTTAAACGTTTCTGGTTCGAAAGGCAGACTAGTGCTAACTTCAAAACGAACACCTTCAGAAAGGGGTTATCAGAATCAAACTTACTGCGCTGTGCACTCTGTCGGCATGGATCACTTCATAAAGAGGATGCTTCTGCTGCTCCCCCTCCCCTGCCGCACCCTGCGACCCTGCCTCAGAGAGCCCAGACGATTCAGCTGCCCCACGCCCTGTGCCACTGCTGTTACTCCCCATTCCATAAGCGAAAACTTCCCCATTCGAATCCTCATCATCTTCCTCCTCCTCATCCTCCTCCTCCTCCCCCTCATCATCCAGCAAGCCTCCTGTCATCTGAGAGAAGTCCACAGGGGTGTACGCGGGAGGGCCGCCCCGTTCATCGATGCAGCGTGCCAGGATGGGCATGATCGCTAGGAAGACGTCACGAGTGCACTGGGCTATGATGTGGCCTCGAGCCCCGTCATTCATGTCACCCACTAGCGCCCTGGCTTCAAGAAGTGCCCTGAAAAGGGGGAGAAGTCGAGGGAGTGGAGACGGAGGGAAGGTGACTTTGGAAATGATGTCCGGAGCTAGCCAGCAGGTTAACATCAAGAGCCAGTTACAAGAAGAAACGCAGGATATGAAAACAGTGTCAACATGAGAATATGAAAACTACTCCAACAGCCAAGGAGGATGAAGTGCAAATCACCAGAGGAAGAGGTGCGCCTGGTTGTGCAGACGGCTGTCATCATCATTAGGGAAGACAACAGGCAGGAGCACCACGAAGTGGTTCAGGCAGCGATGAAGCGCGGGCAGCTCAGCTTCGAACATGTAGATCAGCACCAGGCGCAGCACAAACCACGGACACCCCTGCCGAGCCAAGTCCAGCATCTGCTCCTCCACCTCCTCCAATGCCACCTCGCCTGCTGGCCTCTCACTCTCTACAGCCTCTGCTGTGACCGTTATGCTTCGCAACAGCCCTTGTCTCCCACTCCCCTTGTCGCTCCCATGTCGCCCACTCCCCTGCTGCACGTGCGGCGCGGCAGCAGAAGCAGCTGAGGAATCGGGTTTGGGCTGGAGGAAGGAGCGGTGAGGAGGCGAGGGCGGCTGGGGAGGTGGGAGGAACGCTGGGTGAACAGGCAGGTGTGGTGTGTCGGGATCATCATCGTCAGATTGGAGCATGCCTGCAGCAAGGGCCTCTGCTGCCTCGGCCTTGTTGTGCATGATGGTAATGACCGTCCAGAAGTGCTCGTACACCCGCCACTTGCTTTCAACCACCTTGGAGCCCAAGATACTGGAAGAGTGAGGTAAGGGAAAACGGAAGTGCAGAAGCGAGGTTTAGGAAATATGGGAACAGGAAGGGCCAGGAGAGGAAGACGGACTTCAAGATAATCGACAGGAACGGTATACATTCGACTAAGAGAAGATACATGAGCTGAAGGAAGAGATGCGAGAAAAGAGGTGGTGGGTGAGGGAGAAAGGGAGGGAGGAGGAAAGTGGAGGTGGAATGGGGTTGGTAAGAAGGGAGAGTGAGGAGTGTATTTCTAGAAGACATACCTGCATGAGAGCTCTGCACTGGCGGCAGCAGGGCCCACTTCGTCATCAGGAAGCATATGCTGGAAGATAGACAAAAGCGCACTCCGATCCATTCTGTTCCATGTCCCCTGTGTTTCTTCGCCTGTTCCTGTCGCTTCCGCATCCTCTTCTCGACTCCCTCCCGCAATGCCACCATTAGCACTGCCATCGCCAGCAGCACTATTGCCATCATTTCCCCTCTCAAGAGCGTCACCAGTGGCACTCCGCCTGGAAGGATCGACAGCCTTCCCTGAGTCCCTCTCTGGAAGGTGCCGAGGCTGATAGGGTTAGGCATTGGGAGAGAAGAACAGAGGGCCAACAGGGGGGGGCGAAAGATGGTCATGATTGCAGCTACTGTGCAGAAGGCTATAAGATGGCCGACATCAGGGGGCGCGGCACGGAGTTCATAAAGGAGGAACGCAAAGCAGAAAACGTTCTGCAGGGACACTGGCAGGGAAGGTACCCTACCGTGGAATATGGGATATGCCAGTGAATAAGTGGCAGGCATAGTGCCAGGGTAGGTACTGTACTGCACAGGCACGGAATACTGACAGGGAAGATGTAGGAGGAGTCGCGGATGACGAGCTCTTGCACGAGGACGAAGAGGTAGAGCAGGTTGGCGTGCACGGGCTGCTCCAGCAGATGGTCCCGCGTGGAGCACAGCAGAGGCACCACGCCCAGCAACTCGCCCAGAAGCACACGCAGCAGACCTGCGTATGGCAGCTTGCCCTGAGAGGGACAGAGCAAGATGGGTTGGGGGAGGAGGATAGACGGTCGAGGTGAGGAGAGAGTTGGGAGTGGTCCGATGTGGGATATACCACAGGTCGGTCATGCTTATACTATGTCAATCTTTAGACTGACATGGTTTGCTTGCAGCAATAGACACATGGGAGGGAGGTCAAGGACGCAGGGAGTGGGTGAGTAAGGACAGGGTGCATGCTTCTTGCCAAAACCCACTTGATACCATTAGCCTGTCCAAGCCTCACCCGTTCACCATAGATGCGCAACACGTTGACCGTTTCCGCCACATGCCTCCACCCGCCCTGCACCTTCTGCATTGCAAACGAGTGCGCCGCCAGGAAAATGCGCCGCACATGCACCCACACCAGTTCCAACCCTCCCCCTTGCTGAAGAGGCGGCGGCGGTTGCCCTTCCTCAGCCTTCACTGCGTCCTTCCCTCTCCCCTCTGCTCCTGGAACTGAGGGCCTTCCCTGAGAGTGCTGCTCTGCCGTGTCTCTACCTATGGCTGCATGCTCGGCATTGAACCCGCAATTCCTCGGGGCTGTAAGGTCCAAACCGGTGACCACAATATCCAGCAACCACTGCTGCCAGCCCCGTTGCTGCAAGGGCACAGGCAGGGTTGGAGGGCACAGGTAGGGGTTCCGGAAGAAGATGCACATGCAGGGTATGAGGAAAAACAGGGCCATATGGGGCCAATAAAAACGGTAAGTCTGAGCACATGTGGCCTGAATGCCTGTATGGTACGATCACCTCTAGCAGCTCCAGAACGCAGATAAAAACTATCAGCTAGCATGAGCATTGACGAATTGCCTCTGGCAGATGGCAGCAGCGCGGTTCTTACCTCCAGCAGCTTGAGTCTATTGGCTTTGCTGTTGGAGATTAAATCACCCAGCTTTTTCAGCGTATCCTCCACCACCTTCACTCCTCGCCCTGACAGACCACCCTCCCCAGCACCACTGCTGCTACTCCCCGGCCTGCTGCCTGACCCGCTTCTGCCTACACCCCCTCTGCTACCTGCTCCGGACGAGCTGGCCGCCAGCCTCAGCTGACCGACAATAAGAGGCAGCAGCAGCCTTAGCATCTCCGGTTTCACTATTGACTTGCGCGAGCTGCCTGTATCTCCTCCACCCTTGCGAGGAAGGACGCCCCAGGGGGAGGGCTTGCCACCAGACGAGAAGTTACTAAAGGAGGTGGATATGGCTGGAGTTGCAGGCACTGGATCTGAAACTACTGCTTGGACTGATGATTGTTCTTCATCTTCTCCATGAGCTCTTCCTTGCGCAGCTCTGCTTTTTGCTGCTCCTTGTGGCTCAGGCTCAGGGGGATGCGGGGCAGAGGCACTGCGGGGCATGCCAAAGGACGGTATTGCTCCCTCTGCTGCTGCTGCTGCCGGTGCTGCTGCATTAGTTGGTGTCGAATGTCCCGCTGATGGCATAGGCATGCGAGGAGGAACGGCATGAGAGGTTTTGGGCGGGATCTTTTTGTGAACCATGGCCTCATGTGTGTGCTTTCGAACCGACTGGTGATCGGTGGGTGATGCACCAAGCAGAAGATCAAAGAGCAGAGTCTCAATTCCAGGAGAGAGACCGAAAGGCATCAGATGCTGGCACGCAAGGTCGAGAAGCATCTTCTCATCCTGCTCTGCCTCCCAAAGCTCGTCCTCATCCCCCTCCTCCTCCTCCTCCTGCATCCCAAGCCAGTTCCTCCCTAACCCTCCTGTCCGTGCTGAGCCTCGAGTTCGGCTTGAGCCTCCTCTGCCGGATGCCCCCCTGGTGCCAGTTTTGACTTCTGGGGCCTGCTTCTTGGTTTCGTTCATCAGAGTGAGTATGAGACACAGCGAGAGGAGGCGAATCTCTTCCTGCGGCCTGAACAATGGGTGAACGGAGGAAGGAAAAGCAGCACATGGGAGAAGCAAGATGACGTGGTTGTGAACGAGATTAGAAGCAGGCTACTCTCAACGCCGATAGAAAGTTAGAAAGTAAGGAGTTCCATAGCCTTACCTAGCAAGCATTCCAACAAATATTTGCGGTCCAGCTAGTGCTGATATGTGCTCCAGAAACGACTTGGCAAGGTTGGGCTGTGCAATCAGCCTGAAGATTGTTTGCAGCACATCCTTCACTGCCCCAGCGTCCTTGCTCGCCTCCATGTACACCACCAGCGCCTTCACATCTGCCTCTGTGAACCCGCCTTTCAGGACGTGCTGCAGCAGACTCAGAACCAGCAGTCGCAGCTTGGCCACTTGCTGAGGAAGCGGGCGTGTGCCGAGCACACGCCGAGTGACAGGCTCTACTAGGGGCTTCACCCCGATGGCATGTCGGCCCTGCGGCTTGTCCCAGTAAACCCGACGAACGATATCTAGGAGGCGGGGAAGGGAGCAGACGGAGGGCACGAGCCACGATCGTCGCTCCATGTGGCGCTGGAGGGATACAAAGAGCTCCCGCTGCACGATGTATGGCGCATAAATCCAGAGAGAGGCGTCCATGTATAGAGAGAGGATGACACCACGAACCAAGCGCTCTCGAAGGCTTTGTTCTATGAACATGGGAGCAGTTGGGGGGGAAGATGGCAGAATGGAAGGATGAGTTATGGAGGTACCAGGACAGGTGGGCCCGTATGCAGGTAGAAAGGGATAAGTGTACAAGAATTCTGTAGCTGCGTTGCATCAACCTACCATTTTCTTCAGCGAATGAGTCCACCATGTTCTCCAGTGTGAGCACGAGACTAGCTGTCAGGTGTGTGGGTGAGACATGCTGCAACAAGAAGTTGATAACAGAAAAACCCCCAATAGACAGAATCGCCTGCTGACTGCCCGCGCTCCCAGCCAGGATCTCTGTAAGCAGGTTGATAATATCCACTGCCAACTGCCCATCCCCTTCGACCACCCTTCCCTCCCCCATGCTGCTATCGCTTCCCACAACTGGTAGATCTAACTGCGTGAAGAGAGGCAAGAGGGCTGAAACGCCACCCACTGTGCTCAACACCTGCTGTAGCCGCTGCCGATGGCACCGCTGCACTCCTGAAAGCATTGTCGCGTCAAACACATGAACCGGGGAGACACTCGCACGGGCCAAAGCAGCTGCGGCGGCAGCGCTGTTAGCAGCTTGCTGCTGGGACAGCAGCCAGGCAGGGGAGGTATCAAGAACCAGACCGGCAGCATATGCTTGTGCGTTGTAGCTTAGAGCGATGCGGGAGCTGAGCGAGTTGGGTCCGTCAAAGAGAGCGAGAATTGCATTGTCCACTTGTGTACGCAGGAGGGCTACATCCGTGGGTTGGAACGTGTGATTGTAGCCAGGGCCTAGCTTGTGGATGCAAGAGAGCTGAGGGGAAGTGAGATAGTCGCTGAAAAGGTAGATGGGGCCAATCTGACCCTGAAAAGGATGAGAGGTCTGGAACAGGTGAGAGGAGCGAGGATCCGACTGGGGCAGAGGAGCAGAGGCTCCTATGGTGGCGCGAATCAGAGGGTCTTGCAGGCGCGGATAGCTGCACTTAGCCTTGCCTACCAGAACGCCGTCTATGTAGACTCGGAGCATGCTAGCGGAGGAGAAGGTTGCGGTGGAGTGGGAGATGGCGATGTGATGCCAGTGGCGCAGGGCCATGCTGTGAGGCACCTCCACTATCACGTCCCGTGATCCAGCCACCTGCCAGGAAAAGAGAGGAGCAATACGAGCGGCAGATGAGGAGAACGATGAATCGCAAACAACTCGGCAGTCAAGATATTACCAGCAACCAACCGTGTAACACAGGGCCAAGTGATTGGCTGGAAGATACTCAAATGGATGCATATGTATCAACGGGTGTTGGAAGGTGTGGCAAGAGCCTCACATGGATAAGGAGAGAATCCCTGGTGAGGAAGCCACTGCAGCCATTGCCTTGGTCCGTGTAGAAGCTGAAGAGCGTCATGGGGCTGTCATCTTGGACACTAACACTCAAGGACTCGCCCAGCCAATGTCCCCTGCGTGTGATCGATCTCATGCTTGGCTCCTTGGGTTCTGAGCTGATTTCCGACCCCTTCTTTCTGAGGCTGCCGCTCTGCGCCGTGCTGATGTTGCTGGCACCGCCACTGCTCGCGATGCTGGCGATGGTGGCTGCATTGTAGATTGGAAAATATTCACACCGTAGCCAGCAGCAAAAGGTGTAGCCCTTGGTGCAGGGAAAGCGGAAGTCAGTGGGGATCTCAAGACCCTGGGGAAAAACAGGGATGGAGGAGAATTAGAAAGGGAGTTATATTTGTAGTGTTCAATACAGGAGCAGAGGGAAAAGGGGAGATTCAAGGGAAGAAAAATATAGGATAAATAATAGGAATGGTGCGATTAGAAAAGAACATGCATCATTAGTAAAGGAATTTTTATTCTCACCGACTCAGACCCGTCCATCTCGAAGTAAGAAGGCGGGCCATCATGACTTAGCACGCCCACGAGTGTGCGAAGCAGCAATGACACCCTCTTGGGACGGCATCCATCAGCGGTGCTCCTCATCAGCTTGAAGATCGCAGCAATCTCCTTACCGTTGATGCTGTGCTGGCCCAGCTTTGCTATCAGCTTCGACAACAGAGCAAGTATCGCCTCCATATTCTCTTGGGTCAGCTTCACCATGCGCCCTCTGCTTTCCCCCTCATTCTTACCACCTCCAGTGCCAACCATATCGATTTTCTCCGCCCCACGCTCCCCTGTCTCATCCATGCGCTTCCTATAACTCTCCCGAACTTTTCCCCAGAGGACGCCTTCCTTGGGTTCAGTGCCGTCCAGATGCTCCCCTTCCAGCTCTCCCAGCCACTCTAGGAGGTCAAACATGAGGCCAGCACGGGAGCAGGCAGCACAGTTGCCAGCAGAGCAGTCAAGCAGGTTGTGCAATGACTGGAGACCAGAAACTATCTGCTGAGGGTCGGCCTGAGGAGTGCATGGATCAGTGGAGGGAGGGGGATGCGTCATGTTTAATGGCGCTTCAAAGTAGAGACCAGGAACGAATAGCAGAAAAGGAGTTCTGGTGAGGCAAGGCGATGCAGAGAGGCTATGAGTCTGGACCGATGGGATTGAGACTATGTGGTTCACATAGGAGCTATGAGACTAACGCTTGTGACAGAATCATAAAGAATCGGGGAAGCGAAATGATGCCACGCTTGAACCAGGCACACCTTGTGCAGCAAGCGGAGCCAGAGGATGACGGCATTGGGTGAGTGGATGCTGCCCTGGGCCTGATCCCCGGCCAGGCAGTCCATGGCCATGTCCATGACCGCACTCAGCAGCACCGGCGGGCAGGCTCCATCGAAATGAGGGGGCAGGTACAGCGCAAGGGAACGGAAGCCTGGGCCAACATGCTTGACCAGCACAGCCTGTGGAGAGGCGAAGAACGGCGCGGCAGAGAGAAAACGAGGAAGGAGAATGATGGAAGGATAAAGTAGAGGGTTGAAGGAAGCAGAGCGAAGTTTGAGCAGGAAATGCAGAATGGAAATGCTCGACCAGCATCACAGAGATGAAGACAAAGGTTTACGAAGGAACAAATGCTGCATAAAAGCAGATTTCGAGCATGGATCAAACCCCTTACCTTGGCAGCTTCATTGCACACGGACAGGAGGGTGAGAGTGCGCAGGATCATGATGGCAAGAGAACGGCCAGCTTCCTCCTCGTACTGCACCCGTAACAGGCCAATGAGGCGAGGAAAGGCGTCCACTTTCACACAGAGGTTCTGGTTCACTGAGCTCTCATCCTCCTTCACCACCTCCTGCACCACTGCCAGCATCGCCTGTAGCTGTTCGGCTGCGTCTGCCGCACTGAGCCCTGTACCACCGGCCGCAGTTCCACCTCTCCCAACACCACGCCCATCTCCTCCTCCTCCTCCACCCGCGCCTCCTAACTTCTTGCCACTGCGTGCCACAGTCATGGCCTCAAAGTACCGCTTGAACAGAGTTGACTTAACCGATGGTTCAGAAACAGGGGCCTGTGCAGGGGTTACGAAAGCAGTAACGAACATTGAAGCATCTGCTGGGGCTGCTGCTACATTCACAAGCACAAGTCACATTCACGGACATAAACTCTGCATAAAAAAAAAAACTACAATCGCAATCCAGGCTTCACTACGCTTGACTTACATTCATGATCAGGGAAAGGAGATGAAGAGCCAAGGGTCGCAAGTTTTTTTCCCGCAGCAGCCATAGCAAGGGCATGAACGTCTGTGGGCTGGTGGCAGCCTGAGCCAGCAGAGAGGGTGAGCACTCTAGATACGACTCCAGAAGCTTCAGCACCACCTCCCTCGCCTCCTGCCACTCCTCTCTCAGCGATTCCACCTCAAGAACCAGACGACCTGACCGAGACACCACTGATGCAGTTTCACCTGCTGCAGTTACACCAGCAGCATCAGTGACACCGTCAGCCACTTTTGAAGCAGCATGCATGGGCTCAAGAAAGAAGCCTTGAGCATCCATGCAGAGGTAAGCAGCCTGCTGCCGTTCAATGACCTCCCCGATGTGGTCGCCGCATGCAGTGGTGAGAAGGCAAGGCACGATTCGGTCTCCACCCTGGAGCATGCGCTGCAGGGCATGAGACAGCAGCTGAGATTCGGATGGTACTCGGCAGCAGCTGCGCAGGGCATGGAGGACAGCATGGAATTCTTGCTGGAGGTCCTCTTGCCAGTCCAGGGAGGCAGAGAGCTCAACGAGTGCAAGAATGCTGCTCCTAAGATCCTCAGCATTGCGATCAATTGAAAGAGCAACATACTCCTTGTCTGCATCCAAATCTTTGGATTCCCTTTTGTCAGCGCCTGAAGGTTGCAGCATGACCACGTGGCTTTCCCCTGACCCCGTGCTCTTCACCGGTGTAACCCCCCCAGCTTGTGCTCTTGATGGCTGCGCGTTCTGCCAATCTCGCCAACCTGTACTTTCCTCCTGACTGCCTAAACCCTGGAGTTTCGGGGTGGAAAGGGCAGGACTGCCTCGCGCAGCAGCAATGGAGGAAGGGGTCCATGCAGGGACTTGGGGTGAAGCAGTGGACAGCTTGGGAGGGTCCAGCCATGCAGCTGGGTTATGTGGGGTTGTAATGCTGGGAGAGCCGAACTCATTTCTGAGACCAGAGGAATTGCAAAGAATGGGTCCCGGAGATGGAACGGGGATGGAGAGAGGAGGCGTTCCAGCGCCTTCACCAGCTGCTCCGCCACTTGCTTTACTATCTCCTGCAACAGCAGCCCCACTTGCTGTGCGAGCTGTGCTTTCTTCAGAGAGAAGAACGGAGTCGAAGAAGAAGAAAGGGCGGGAGAATAGAGAAGGCGCGACGTTGGCGGTGTGGAAGTGGCTAAGCGCGTTGGCATGTGACCCCAGGAGGAAGCGCAGGACACGCACGACATAGTGCTGAAGCTCAGTCGAGGAATTCTGGAACATCACTGTTGCTGCATCGTCCAGCCAGTCAGTGTCTCCCAGTTTCACCGGGTGGAAGGCGTGCAGGAACACAGAAATGACATCTGCCATGATCTCCTCTCCATATGCCCTCTTTGCATCCAGCTTTTCAACCTCTCCTAGCGCGCCTCCTGCCGCTGCTGCACCCCAACGGCGAGATCCACTTATTTGAGACTCCGAGAGAATTGGAGCAAGGACCCACTCGTTTCCATCCCACAAAAACGACATGATCAAGTTGCAAGCTGCTGCCGCCCTCAAGTTCCACGCTGCCAGCTGTCCGCCCACACTCAGGTGCTCGTCCATGGCTGCAGAGAGGGCATCCATGCCCATACCCATCCCCATGCCAGTCTGTTCAGAGGTTGTCATGTCTGTGAATGGGTCGCCGCGCTCAGCGGGGTGAGAGGGGAATGCAGCATCGGCAGCACTGCTCGGTTTGGAGGCGACATTGCTGGGAGAGTTGGACTCGAGGGAACCAGGTTTTTCAAAGACCAAGGAGGTCCATCGGATGAACTGAGCGATGTGTGGCACGGCATTGAGAGAGTGCAAGGCTCGGGCTGCTGGAACACTGCCGAATCTGGAAGTCGACAGAAAGAGTAAATGAGACGGACGTTGAGAAGTGAAGCCGAATGTGACAGGGCAAAAGAGAATAACAAAAAATCAAAATCTTGTTCTACGCAAATCTACCAAGGCACATGGATGTGAAGCACATGTCAGAGCAAGATGGACGAAAACATAATGGAGGAAAGGCATGACTTCACATGCTGACTTACACTGATTCTTTGATAGTGGAAAGAGCCAAGAACTGCAGGCTGTACTCCTTTAGCAACTTGCTCGCAAGCATGGTGCGGTCCATGCACCTGGACATCACAAAGACTATGGTCAGTCACAACAGAACGAACGACAGTTCACTTCACTGGAAATGATTAAAGGAGTGAAAGGCAGATGGTCCACGCGGACTCACGGGGTCGAGGGCAGGAGCCATGAAGGCCAGGCAAGCAGCCCAAGAGTGACCTGCAACCCCTCGTGGGCGATGAAGGCAGAGCAAGACTGAGGGAGCGCAGTGACCACTGCCCATACCGCCTCCACTCCCTGCAGCAGTGCGTCCTGTGCTTGGTCTGACAGGGAGGCCTCTGTCTGCTGAATGTAGCGGACCGAAGGGATGAAGGCTGGAAGGGGCCAGTGAATCGAGGAGCAGGAGAAAGTGGGAGAAATTGACATAGAGTAAGCACTTGGAAGACGGGTAAACACAAAGGATGTTTGATGGAAAAGACACTGCGAGAATGTATCATATGTAAGCTACCATAAGAATGCAATGCATGCAATCTGAACCTCCTCAAAGGCTCACCTAGGAGCACAGAATGGCATTTGTCTTGCACACTGGTTAGGAACTTGTTGAACTCTGCCATCCGTTTTTCCTCGTTCACCACCTTTCCTTTTGGCGCACGCATCTCGTGAGTCACGGAGAACGCCTCAAAAACTTCCGTCCCCAGTGCCATCTCTGGCTTCTGGCCAGGGTCTTCCCTCTTTGAGAACCCTTCTTTTGGGCCATCAGGTCCACCGCCTGAACTCGTTCCTCCTTGCTTGGTTTTCTTAAGCATCTCAGACCTCTTGCTTCCTCCCGTGCTGATAACAACCTTGGAAACCAGATGTCCCTTGCGGTGAATGGCAGGCTTCAGAAAATTGATAACGACTTGCAGGATGAGCTGCGAGGCGGAGAGAAGGAACTGCATCGCTTGCGACTTGGGTGTTGGAGCTGCCTGGCTGCTGTGGCCTCCGTCACTCTTCCAATCACCATCATCCGCATCCTCTGTGCCCAGAGCACCAGCTTTACGGGGTCCATGTTCAAGCACTGGCTCGGAATAGGAAGGTGTTTTGCTAGCTCGAGTTCTCGTTGATGCATTGTGGGCATCAATATCCATGGTGATGCCTGCAGAACGCGAAGTAAAAGAGCGAATTATTACCAGACGAAACATGCTCTCATATCAAAGGTTAGAAATGGACATGAATTTCCTGTTGTTCATGTATACTGGGTTAACAAAGTCACTTTGCAGCCCACCTTTCAGCACATCCAAGGAAGTGACAACTCCACGGAAAAAAACAAAGCGCTTGCGGTTTTCAGCACTTTCAGTGATAATAGCTGCAGCCTGAAGGACATTGATGGCATGCTCGCGGTCCCGCTTCGGCACAAACAAATCAATGTCTTCATTTGATTGTTCATCTTCGATCTCAAGGCCACTTCCAACAACGGGAGAACTTTCTTTAGGAATCTCATCCTTCCGCCTGGTTGATGCAACTGAAAGGATATGCCAGTTACAAAGGTAAATATGGCACAGATTAGTTCACTCTTAACCACAAGGTACTGTAATTGCATCTTCGTAACAAATACTGGCACTGGGAGGGCCTGAATGCACACGTGAAATCAGCACGTAGGTGAGAAATAAGGTCATTGAGAAGAAAGAGGCTCACTTTGGGCGAGATCAGAGAGCCACACCAGTTCTCTGACAACGCATCGAATCATCTCCAAGGGATGAGCCTCGCGAGATGAAACGTCCTCCTTGTCTTCGGAACCTTCATCTGGTGCTGTTGGAGACGAAGAGCTTGGAGGTGTCCAATCGTCATAGGTTTCCACGAATAAGTCAATCAAGTTCTTGGCTGCAGAACGTGTCGGATCCTGTGTCGGCTGCAGAACAAAAAAAATCAAGAAATAACACTTCTAGTGTCAGAATTCACACGCGACTGTATAAAAACTGCTCAATAAACAGGGTTGTCAGGTTAAGGTATACATTCTTCCTTTGCGTAATCAGGAACCTGCACTTGAGACTGTTCAGCCCAGACACGGAAAAGAAAATGGCTACGTGAACAATAATTTGATTAAGCAGACTAACCTGCTCCTTTTTTGCAAGGTACACCCAAAGCAGACGCTTTAACTCAGCTTCGTTTTCGTCATCATCCCTGGTGGACGCAAAGTGGTGATCACATGTGTTTCGGCGATAAACCTATCTATAAGAGATGTCCAGAAGGCTGAACCAATGGAACTTGTAGAGGAGATGAAAACGGAAAGCTTGATGGCCCGTTGTCAATGCATGCATAAAAAAATGAAACCATCCGAGCGACGATGAAATGATTCGCATTCTGATTTACAATCCATATATGACTTCGTGATTGTAATGACCAGCTGATCTGCAGGGTGTCAGGCAGGTTAGAAAAGGGCGTCGCTGACCTGAAGTGATAGTTGTGGTGCCATTCATCCGGCACAATCTTATCCACAGGCCTTTCCGCGGCGCCTATTCCAAGAATAGACCAGATTCCTTGCATGTTGATCAAATGTCGGGTCTGGTCTGTGAAGATTGATGACCCGCTAAGTAGATTAAGTTACAAAAAAACACGTTGCATTTTTATCTTCAAGCTTTCTCGGTCAATGAAGAAGCTGGTAAGAAGCCTCCTTTTGGATTGAAGACATCAGTAAGTTATCTCGCAGGCAGACAGGAAAGGCGTGAGCTCATTGTAATATGAATCGCGAGACGAGTCTCGAAGTTACTGATTCTGGTTTGAGAAATGCATTGCCTCAGTCAGCCATTGCTTGACATTAGTCCTGGCTGAAAGCGAGAACCTGGTGCCATCAGGGAAAGTAAGTGACAAAGGGTGAGAATCTGTCATGCTGCGACGTTCTTTGATATATTCACTAAGCCTTCTCTGAGCACCAAGCATCATTGTCTGCAACATCAGGCTATCGCAATGTCACTAGGGTGGAGAGCCTTGCGACAACTTCAATCGTCCAGAATGACTTTCGCAAGTGCATTATTGCTTGGAGTCCAGCTGGGATGGCCAAGACGAGGAAGCGCAATTCGCGGCGATGAAATCATTGGCGAAGGCAGTGTGAATGTGAATCGTAGAAAGCCGGCAGGAGTCAAGCGACTCTGCGATGCTGCAAGGAAAAATCATTTTCCTTACTTCGCGTCCCTTCTCAGCGCGTACACCACTATTTCCCTCCAATAGCACCCCACAATAATCCGTTACCACTCGCGACATTCGCCTCGACACTATTCCCGCCACTGTTCACGACGCGACCCAACCTCACGGTTCGGTTGGTAACCCGCGCTCCGGACCTCCGCCTCCACAATTCCCAACCTCGGCACTAGGCCCGTCGCGCACCCCATTTTCCACACGTTACCGTTACCACTGTGGCTTCGCTATATATTCTTCGCTCAATCCTTTGCACATTGTATTCTTGTCTCAATAGTGCAATCCTCGCTCGCTCACTCAATTGCACTCGTAACACTTGGTATTCAGAGCCTACGATCTTCTCTCGGACCGCACCCACACCTTCGCTTCCCCACTACCTCAAATTTTGGGGGGGGGGGGGGGGGGGGGGGTAAGACGTCTCTCAGCGACCAAGCACCGCCGCTCGAAATGCTCTCTCGTAAGCATGCACGGCCACGACAGAGGCTCTCGCTGAGCTTGCCCGACACCCCCGCCATGGCTGAAATTAATCTCGCGACACTGACGCAAGAGCAGCTCGACCGTCTCGTGCGCCAACTCGAAGATTCGGCCCTCGAAATCGCTACACTCACGGCGGAACGCGACTCCGCCCGTTAGCAATCAACAGTGAATGCACCAGCACCAACCAATGCACATGCACAATCAGAGGAGCCGATCATCGTCTCATCAGGCACCCCGACATAGAACGACAGCGTGGGACAACGCTCAGGCGTAGCCAGCGATGTCGCCACTCACGCAATGCCTGGCAAAGAGAGAAATAGGGTCGCACCAAGCCCACGTGAGCCTCGTGAAGCTCGTCGGCACGTGGAGTTTGCAGCAACAAACGGCAACCACGACATCATGGCACCAATGCCACTCAAGCCGCAGCGCCCGCCCTGTTTCGATCCAAGCCAACGTGGAGGTCCGACGGTTCAATCGTGGGTCTTCATGATGAACGTTTTTTTCGACGCGAATTACGTCGAGTCGGACGCAGCGAAGATTCGCTGCGCCGTGTTGCTGCTGAGGGGGCCCGCCATGGACTGGTGGCGAGTCATCGTGACGTCGCCACACGCCTACAAGCCACCGTCGCAAGAGGAAGGGCCCACGGGCCCAGCCGTCACCTGGAGTTCATTTTGCGAGACAGCCCAGTACAGCACGTGGGATGCGTGGTGCGCAGGGCTTCGGGCGCGCTTCGAGCCGATCGCGGCTTCTATTTCGGCGCATCAGAGACTGCGTACTTGGCGGCAGCTCGGATCGGTTCAAGACTACACGAGTGGTTTTCTCGCATTATGCGAGCAAGTCGGCTACATGCACGAAGCGGAGCGGGTGGACCGTTACGTCGAAGGGCTGAAGCTGGACATCTCGCACGAAAACATGCTACGCGGGCTCTCGAATTTTAACGAGATCCCCGCGCTCGCCAAGAAAATCGACATTTTGCGCCATCCGAGACTGGGGTCCTACTACGGTCATCGTCCTCGGGGACAGATCGAGCACGCCACCATAGACGTCGTTGCGACGAATGCAGCTGCCGCACTGTTTAAGGGGCGCTACTTTGCTTGCAATCGACCGGGCCATCGCAAGAGCGAATGCCCAGAGGAGCTGAGGCACCGCGGAACAGAGCAGGGGCGGGAGTCTCAGAGGCAGGGAAAAGCCAGCAGTCAGTAGAAGTTGGGCCAACTACTGACGAGACTACCTGCTCGCCCAACCTCACCGACCCTCACCGAGTCACAGTACCGATTCACGCTATCGATCGGGCTCGGATGAATAAGGAGGGTACAACGTCGGATTGCCCAGTACTGATCCATGGGAAAATGAAGGGAGCAGCAGTGAAGATTTTTATAGACGGAGGCGCCAGCCACTGCTTAGTTAATACCGCGACTACATGGAAGCTGCAACTGGCACTTAGTCGGTGTTCACCAGAGATCGACGTAGGCTTAGTTGACGGAACGCCGTTGGCCATACGGGATAAGGCGGAGAGAGTAAAAGTCTGCTGCGGGGGGAGCTTCGGGTTTACACAGGAAATGCTCGCGACGACATTGGATGGGCACAACATTTTACTGGGACGCCCGCGAATCGACTGGACGACGGGTAGCTGCACTATGCGAAATGGCGGTAACTGGGTTGAACTACCTCGCTGGCAGTCGCCTGAGTCTTCAACGGTCCACGTCAACGCCATCACAATGAAACGGGCTGTCGCCGCTGGAGCTAACGTGTACGTGGTGGATATCGCAGTGGTGGAAGAAGCAGAGCAGTCGAGCAATTTTCAGAAACTGCTGGCAGCGGTACTGTCAAACTTATATCTGCTATGGTCTATTTAGGCTGTAGTGGGGTAGCTCTTAGAGGGTACAACACTTATGTGTTTCCTATTTGTACCCATCTCATTTCTAGTTCATTCATTCTTTCGTCTATCATTCTCACATGGTATAGAGCTAGTTTCGAGTTTTTTTTAAAAGGGCCCACCACTGAAATTCTTCACTACCTGCTTGACGCGCGCGTCGCGCCTTACCTTCGAGGCCCG